GTTACATGATTTGATTAATTTCTGGTAAAATTTTGAATTATTTTTATTTTAATTTATTTTTACCTTTTTTAACCTGTTAAATAAATTATAACAACCCTTTCAGAAGAAATTGATATTAGAAATGATAACAGAAAATTTTGATATCATAGATAATGAACTCGCTCTAATTCTCGCTTTAATTCTCGCTTAAATTCTCGCTTCGGAATGTATGATTATGTTTCGTTCCGTCATTATTATTATTATTATTATAATAAAAAAAAAATTATTTTTATTTTTTAAGTTGAAACTCAAAAATAAATATAAAATAAATTAAAATACTCATAAAATTTATTCAAATAAGGACAATAGAATATATTATAAATCTCTTATTTTATGAACAAGTTTTCTTCCCTGTTGTCTTTAAAGTTTTTCTTCCATAACAATTTTCGATTTTTTGAAGATTTTTTCCTCATTATATTAAACCTTTATCAAATATGGTCTCATTCAACAAACTAATCAATCTTTTTTTTTTTTTTTTTTTTGAAATTGATTAAATTACATAATCTAAAATTTATTAAACTAGTATTAGTAATAATTATATATATTGTGGTTTTCGATTTTTTGAAGATTTTTTCCTCATTATATTAAACCTTTATCAAATATGGTCTCATTCAACAAACTAATCAATTTTTTTTTTTTTTTTTCTTGATGAAATTGATTAAATTACATAATCTAAAATTTATTAAACTAGTATTAGTAATAATTATATATATTGTGGTATACGATTCACAATATTAAACTCCTTCTATAAATTAAAGCCGCATGCCTCCATCCTGTTTAATACTTTATTAAGATTTAAACTTTATCTCATAAATACTTTTTTCCATGACAACATCAAAAATGGTTTCATTCATTAAATGAGGAAAAAAAAAATGAGATGGAAAATGAAAATTATAATGAAAAAAAAATTTGACGAAAATAAACTTTTATTATACTTTATACTATATATTTATAGTTTATACTTTAATTTATACTTTTTAATATACTTTTTAATATACTTTTTTTTTTCTTTTTCTTTTCTTTTAGTTATACTTTCTTTTAGTTTTAATTTAATACTCCAGTTACTCAGTTAAATACTTGCTATTATACTTGTCCTTTTTTCCTCCTTCATGATAATGATATCATTCATTGTCTCATTTCCTTTAATTTAATTTATTTAATTTATTTTACTTAATTTATTTATTTATTTATTTATTTATTAATCACAAACTTTTACAACACAATACAGAATACGCACAAATTGAGAAATAATTGACATTTGACCTCTTTGTCATTCCTAACACAAAACTTTCTTACCTCTCTTCCTCTTCTCATTTTCATTCTCTCTCTTAATTATTATTAATAATAATAAACTTTAAAAATAAAATTAAAATTTAACGCCAAAATAGACTTTTCTCAGAGAAAATTATAAAAAAAAACCTGTTTAATCTCTTACACATCCCTTATTTTGATGATCATAAAGAGAGACAATGATTTTAGTCACGACAATCAATCATTTGACACCCTTACTAAATGAGAGAAAAAATTCCAAATATGAGTAATAAGACTTTCTTTAATGGAAAAATTAATTAAAATTTCAAGATTTTTACAAGAAAAAAAAAAAATTATTTAGATATTTAAATAAAGTTTGTCCAAATCAAGAAAATCGTAATTAAAATGTTTAAATTTAAAAAATCTTTTTTAAAACACTATTTTAAAAAAAAAAATAAATAAAAAATTCCTGTTTGAAATAAAAATTTTTTTCGATTAAGGTAAAATTCATTTATATTTACTCTTACACAAATTATTATTTAAAATTTTTTTCTTTTTTATTACACATAATTAACTTTAATTTCGATTTTAGAAATATTAATTTAGTCTCGTGAATTAACTTTGTATACTTTTTACATCAGATCTTTTTAAATAAGGATTTCTTTTAAAAGTTTATTGCATTAATTAAAAACGTTAATTTCAGGTTTCTTTTAAACCTTCTAAACAAGATTGAACTGAGTACAAAAACTATCGTAAGTTTTTTAATTATTGCATGATATATTATTTATCATTTAAATTATTTAAATTATTTATCATATTACACATATTGCATAATATCATTAATATCATCTTTTTTTTATCATCATGTCATCCATGAGTTCATGCCATCTTTAAACGTGTACATTAACCATGCCTTTTTTCAATATCTGTTAGTGTTTTCGTATCTTAATAAAAATTAACCGTGCATGTGTACATTATTACTACACAGATTCGTCCATGTTAATATTAACAATATTTTACCCTTTTTTGACTACTTACTTTACTTCTTCAAGGCGTTGTGCCGTTGTGCAGTCTTCTCCTCTTCGAGTGTAGTACGCCCCGCAGTATCTTAAACAAATTTGGTAGTTTATTAGAAAGTTCCAAAACTTACGGAATTTTCGGCCTTAAAAATCCGCCTCATTCTAAATTCGCCTCATTAAGTCTCATTACTCATTAGTCATGCGGATTTTAGCCACAAAATATTTCGTCCGTGGCGGTCTTTTTTTTTAGCCACCTCTAGCCACTTTCGGCCACTTTTAAAAAAAGAATTTACTCTTTGTTTCAAATTTTTTCCAAAAAAATAAAAAAGGCCATTCATGGTCATTTGAAACCTTTTCAAACTATGCAAGTTTCAAATTTTGTTGAGGACATAAAAATGTGAACATAAAAATGAGAACACAAAAAAAAAACATAAAAACATAAAAACATCAAAACATAAATAGTAAAAGCATAACCTAACACTTTAATACTCTGAGACTCTGAGTCAAAATGTTGTAACCAAAAAATCCTTTTTATTCCGATAATTCCGTAATTCCATAATTCCATAGTTCCATAATTTTCCGTCAATCCCGCTAATTCATCACTTACCCTTATTGAATGTCACAACACCAAAAAACATTGTATTATATCATTTTTTTCTCAAATATTTCTTCCCCCATACATTATTGTTTTTTATTGTTTTCTTCTTTTGCGCGTTCGTTCAAAAAGAAAAGTAATGAACAAAATATAAAAATTACCATTGTCTTTTGAATGAGAATAAATTTCATGTTCGTACAACATGTTTGTACATTCATTATCAATTTAAGAACGAATTCAAGTTATATCTGAAACGAAAAAAAATTCTCATTGTTTATTCGATTATTCATTTAAGGTAATTAAAGGATTAAGGGGTTTTTTCAAAGGTACTAAAAATGGTAATATCAATAACCCCAACAATTCGACATTTTAGTTAAACATGCATGCATACTGTTAATCGAGGAAGAAAAAAGAAAATGTAAGAATGTTTAAGTATTAGATATATATACAAACAAATAAAACTGCGCTTGTAAGTTATGAGGCTTATCTTCTAAAGATTCTTTTTTTATTTATTTATTTATTTATTTATTTTTTTCAGGGTATTCGTGATATCCTCTCAGTTTTAAAAATTTTGAAAAAAAAAATTTTTTTTTAAAACCTTTACAGAAATACGCGTTATTGAATTGTTGAAATTTTTGAATTCATTTTGATACGTTCACGTCATTCACGTCATTCCGAAGGTAAGTGGCGACAATGGTAGTATAATTTTATAGTGGTAGTATAATTCTAGCAACAAATGCTCCCGGCACAACAAAAGTAAAAGCAGATGCGTGATTAAGCAAAGATTTTAAGATTTTAAAGGATCTGCAACATCATGTGATCAGATGCGCTACTCGAATGATATGAAATTATATCCTATTGGTATGCCCATTATACTAGCAGAGATATTGTCCAAGTTTATCGATCTCTCTTTCCTTAATACAATTTGATACAAATCTTAATGATCTTCTTTGTATAGGGTTGTTTAAAACTAATAGGCTTATTTAGAACTTATTTGGATGTGGAGTTATGGACAAGATTGACTTGATCATGATTCGATTGATTCATATTGTCACTTGCTATATTTTCGCCAACATAATCAAGTATTGTGATTGCATCTCCAAGTAAGCTTTGGTGAGTTGTATCTTTAGTTCTCTGCAAGATGATCCAATGAATCTTTCCACATTTATTAAACAATTTCCTAGTCTTATGTCATAGAATTTGAAATTTTTTTTTCCTGCAATAATTTATATGTTAATTGTAGATTACAAATTATCATAATAATATTTAAAGTTAGAATGCAGTCTCTGGAATTCTGGTAATGATTTATCATGAAAAATTAAAATTGGAAGTAGGTATTGATTTCTTCACACTTTCGTACTGAGTTACTGATATATATCGCATTGTAGCATTATATATATATATATATATTGTAACTATTCCTTGATATTTATCAAATTCATGGTGATGTAAACAGATTGGGATTGCTTTAGCATTCAATACTGGGTCGTGATCTTGAAAAAAGAAAATTTTTTTATTAAAATCTTTTAGATCTTTAATATACCAAAAAATTTATGTCATTTATTTCTACTGAAAGTTTCTTTTCATTGAAGAAAATTGGTTCAAGTTCAATTGGTTAGTTCAGTTGGTTCAAGTTCGTGATGGTTATCATATACGATCATTTTAAAGTAGGTAATATCCAAACAAGATCTTTTAAATATCCAGATTTCCCATTACAAGAAATCATTTTCCAATCATGACAATATTCACGGATGAATATATCAGAAAATCCATATAATTTGGTGTCTTCTTTGAGGTATTATCAATTGAGGTATTATCAATTGAGGTATTATCTGTTGAGTTGAGGTATTATCAGTTGAGGTATTATCAGTTGAGGTAGTAGTCAGTACCATGTGATATAATTATATCACATGGTACCGGCTATTTACCCTAGATTATATGGTAACCTATGATCTAATAGTAACCTATAATCTGATAGTAGCCTATAATCTATAATAATATAATCTAATTGTAACCATATAATCTAATAACATAATAATCTAACGGTATCATTATAATCTATTTTTGAGTGTCTTTATGGCTTTCTAGTTATTCTTTTAAGTAATTTCTGCTATATTTAAATTGGTATCATATAGTCTAAAGGTAACATTACCATATAATCTAATGGTATCCTTATAATCTAGAGGTACCATTTTGCTTTTTACTCCTAACCTACTTACTCATCAAATTCTATATTGTGAGTGCTGACCTTCTGTGCCTGTTTGGAATCCAGGTTCTATATTGAGAAGATGACCTTTTCTACCCATTTGGAACTCTAGTTCCATATTGAAGGTGCTGGTCTTTTGCGCCTGTTTGGGTATCAGATTTTATATCGAGGCATTTACTTTTTTGCGCCTATTTGGTTGCCTTTCTAGATGCCAAAATGTGGTAAAAAATATCGTGACAAGTAGCACAGTAATTTAATGTAAATCTGCGTTTAATTTTGGCCGGTACTATACCATAATTTTGGCTGATCTTTTGGGTATGTGTAAGGTTGCTTGCCGAAACCTAGGGGTTTAGGCAAGATGGCGTTTTGCCGAAAAGTGAAATTCTGCCAAAACTATATTAAAGTTATATTAAAAAACTGGCGAAACTTTGGAGAATGGCGAAACTGCCGAAACTTATTATAAATGCTGAAACTGCCGAAACTCTGCCGAAACTATAATAAATCTATAGTAAAATTTTGATGAAACTAATCGTAGNTTTACTTTTTTGCGCCTATTTGGTTGCCTTTCAAGATGCCAAAATGTGGTAAAAAATATCGTGATAGGTGGCGCAGTAATTCAATGTAAATCTGCGTTTAATTTTGGCCGGCACTATACCATAATTTTGGCTGATTTTTTGGGCATATGATTCGAAGATCCAGCTTGGCTCCATAATGGTGACTGTGGAGCTGTCATGGAAGTAGTGAGGAACTATTATGGAAGTGTTATGGAACTGGTAGTTTGCCAGCTTGAATGCCGAATTATTATGCCCAAAGTTCTGGCCGAATTTATGAAATAGCACTGGCCGAATTTATGGGATAGTGCCGACTGAAATTAAGCGAAAATTTTCTGTGCCTCTTTTTTTCAAAATGGGTGTCGCAAGTAGATATGTATATTGTTAGGAATGTCATATGATAGTGGTCCCAAAGGGCTCAGTGACAGGTGATTCTTTACGCATATATTGTTAATTTACTACGCCTAAAGTTTCTGTGATACTCTCTGCATATATTGTTAGAAGAATCATATGATAGTAATCCCAAAGGGTTCTGTGTCAAGTAATACTTCATACATATATTGTTAGGAGAATCATATGATAGTGATTCCAGAGTGCTCGGCGTCAGATGGCATCCAGCACAGTATCAATTCAGAGATATTCTATTTTTTCACCTACCATGAATGCTGAATTATTGTATCCAATAATCTGGCCAAAATTATCGTTAACTTACTGCGCCTAATTTTGATATCACATGACCAGGCTCTAGTTTTCTCTTCCCGCAACTTTTAAGGAATATTTGAGGAATAATTGAGTGGCATTTGGGGTTTGGGCTAGTGGATCAGTTGGTTAGAGAATTGGAGGTGCCAACTTCATATCTCTTTTTGGTTATACCTCTATATTATGCAATGGCTATACCATACCTGAGTACATACTTAAGAAAGATGGGGTTTTCTTCCAATTTTTTATATAATAATTCAAAGAAGGCTCTCTATATATACCTGAGTACATACCTAAGAAAGATGGGGCCTTCTTCCAATTTTTTATATAATAATTCTGAAGAAGGCTTCATATCATATCCGGGTACATATCTAAGAAGAATAAGTCTTACGCGGAGGCTATACCATACCCAGGATATATTTAGGAAGATGAAGACTTCTGCCATTTTCATATAATATAATTCTGCAAAAGTATTCATATCATATCTGGATGTATATCTAGGAAGGATAAGTCTTACGCGAAAACTATACCATATCTGAATATATATCTAGAAAGTATAAGTCTTCTTCCAATTTTTTATATAATGATTACGAAAAAGACTTATCATCTGAATGTATATCATTTTGCCTTTCTTTTGTATTTTACTTACTGTATTTACTATCACCTCTTTTTTGCAACCATCGAAAAAAATAAATTAAACATTTCCAAATTTTATAAAGATAGTATAACTTTTTGATCTAACATCATGCATACACCAACTAATTTTGACCAAACTGATCACTCTGAAACTGCCCACTACGACGATGCTGAAACTGATGAATACTTAAGTGACTCAAACAGTTATACTGATAATAGATCTGACTTAGGGTCAGATAATTATAATGACTATGAGTCTAATTATGAGTCGGATAATGAAGGAGCTCCCTGCGCTTCAACAAGCACTATCAAGACTCCATTGGTTTAATTACCAAATGTAAAGAGCGAAAGATTAATGTGGTATATACTTTAAGGCAGGAAAAGTTTAATGATAATTTTTCTTCCAAGGACTTGCTAAATGCCATTCAAGAAATTTTCCTATCACCACCTAGAGATATGTCAGATAAAAAGGGTCATTAGAATATCTCCCAATCTATTCATTTTTTTTTTCTGAATGAAAAAGGGTCTAGTTTATATAATGCTTATGACCGGGATGAAGTGAAAGATAAATTGGTTATCAAAATCGACCAAGACGGTGATCGTGCCCCAAAGTTTTCTGTTGCAGATGACATTTCAGAAGTATATGGTTTACCAGAAATTCACGAATGCATTAATGGTCAAAATCTTTAAGGGCTGTAATCAATATAGATGCTTCACAGAAGGATATGGAAACAACTGGTGTTAAGACGCAAAAAGTATTCATTCGAATCTGCCTATCTTTCATAAGAGCTTTGTATCAAATTCTTGACTGTAGTTGGGAAAGTATTCTTAATGGATTAGTAATTGCTACATCTTCAGATTCTAGCAAGTGTAGCTACCACGTTTTATATGCACTGGCTCTCCTTATCGATCATCATGAACTCAAAGCATTCACAGAATTAGTATATACCTTAACCGGTGAAAAATTCAGCAAATACATTGATAAAGGATTGCCTGGTCAAAATTTTAACCTTCACTTAATTAGTTCGGCAAAAAAAGGTTGTGTAAAGCGTATTCTTCAATTCTCACTAGATAATGAGTAAAATAAACTCGATCACGCTAGAGTTCAACCACCTACTAGCTTAGAGCTTAAAGTAAGACCTCAAATGCTTAGTACAGAAAAAAATAATAATCCACTAAGAATATCCATGGGTCAAGATGTATTACAGAAATTCGTAAATCTAGTTTTGCGGAAGTATTCTAACTATCTTAGGAATTGGACTATCGAAGAAAAGGACTCAGAAAACTTCGTATATTTTAACCGAAAAGCTCCACTAAGATGCCTACTCTGCAAACGTTGTAAACGGTCGAATATCAAGCACGAAAAGATGATAAAATTCAACCACCAAATGTAATTATTAAATATTAAGAATGAACAAATTAATCGTGGATTGGCGTAGATGGATAAATAATTAGCCGAAAAGGATAAACATTTAGGAAGAGTAATGATCTACATGATGTAATATTTATTGAATGATTGACAAGGAACCAATAGGATAAATAGAGTCGATCAATTGCGGCTTAGCAATCTTTAACAATAAGAACGATAAGAAAGAATAATTATAAGCCACAAAAGATAGATTATAAGCAAAACACATAAAGCGAATTAAAAGAACATATAGAATAATGTCAGAAAGATTAAAGAACACAAAATAATGTAAAAGATAATATAAAAAGATAGTATAAAGATGGAACGTAAAAGATAATATATTAAAAAAAACATATATAGAAAGATAGCATATTAAAAGATAGCATATTAAAAGATAGCGTATTTAAAATATAGATAGTATATTAGAAAGATTGTTCAAAGATAATATGTAAAAAGAACATAAAAGATAGTATATAGATAGAATAGAAAGTAGCATAAAATTTGAATAAAAAGAGAACGGAATTCAAAATAATTCCATAGTTCTCATCCACAGAACTCAATAAAAATATAAGTTTCATTTAATTATTTGTTAGTAAAGTTTAATGTTAATTGAAGGTAATAGGTTCGCCCTAAACTTTAATTAATGTTCGCTTAATTAATTTTAATTAAATAAATGAAAATTTTAAGATGAATTAAATATATGTCTTTGAAAAGTATTAATTCGTAGCGAGAGCTATCAAAGTTTGAAATTAAAGGTAAAAGTGGATATAATTTGGGGAAAATTTAGAGAAGTTAATTTTATTTTATATCGTTCAACGTTTTATATTACTAACGCTATTTATGTTGTGAACCAAGAATGTTGTTGTATATTGTTCGTTGATTTTGTTGTTTGTTAATTATGTTGTTGATTAATTGTTCACTCGTTTAATTGTTCGTTCGTTCGTTTATTCGTTCGTTCGACCATGGGAATGCCCGTTCGATGTGGCAACTCTGTAAATTGATGACAGAGGGAATTGGGGAATCTCAACGTATACATAACAAGGATCAGCAGTGGTTCAGTCGAGTATGCGCTAGAAGTGGTGAATTCATTATAAAATGTTTTTGGCAAAATAGTGATGAGTGTGGGGTAATTTTTGAATGCGACTTATCTATTGCAGAAAAAAATCAGCAAGAAAATAAAAAATCTCTGCAATTTTTTCACAAGATCAAGGTTCTGGGCTTTTCTAAAGCCTTCGTAAATTTCCCATTTTGGGTCAAGTATAATGAGCCCCTTTCAGCAACAGAAATATATGAGGAGAAATATGTAAGACCATTACCTAATGAAGGCGATATCTATGTAGATTCACCTTGGAAAATGGGAAAAACATATGTTCTAGAGCATCTTACTATATCTGACGATGTGAATTTGCTAGTATTATCCACGCGCCACTCTTACTTGAACGCTGTTACTACAAGACTCAATCTCAAAACATATTGTGATATCGATGGTAATATAAATCTACCTGATCATAAGAGGGTAGTATGCCAGATAGAAAGCTTACATCAGATTACTAATAATTGTAAATGTAATAAAAAATGCAAATGTCTTCCAATCCAATATAACTTGTGGCTTGATAAAATAGTGTCTATAATTGCTCAAGCACAAAGTCATTTGGCAGGTCAATCGATAGAAAAGTTATATAAATTGATCCAAGAGGCTAGGTGCATTATTGTAATGGATAATGACCTAACTGACCTCAACATGAATGGATTAAGGCCCTTCGTAAGGGCATACCTCTCTCTATTATCTACAATACTTATCAGCCTCAGAAAGGTAAGACATTCCGTCTAGCCCTAATAAAGAAACAGTATTAACTGAACTTTGGGACTGGGTCAAGAATACGTCTTTATTACCTTTTGAGAATAGAACAAGTGCGTCACTTATTTGCCATCTTAGAAAAGACATGCAAGGAATTGTTCGCGCCCTTAAGACTGATTTTCCAGAATTACAGATCAAGGAATATCATGGCAAGTTTGATCCAGTGGAAAAGGCTCATGACTTCAGCAATGTACACACATTAAATGACCAAAAATAGGCAAAAAAAATGGCGTGAATTGCATAAACTATTCACAAATTTGTATAAACTATTTACAAATAGTATAAGTTAATTCGCAAATAGCTAAAAACAGCCAAGAATAGCCAAGAATAGCCACTGCTTTTCGCGCCATTTTTTTTGCTGATTTTTAGCATTTTGACCAGTGGTAGGAGAATCATGGAAAGACGTAGACCTAGTTACCTATACTAGCACTTTAAAAATAGGAGTATTCTGCACTAATCCTAAGTTTGAGTGAGCATTCTGTCTTTTTAATAGTTACATAGAAACAAATGCCAGAATGAATCAGATGTTATTCCGCATGCGATGCATTAAAAATTATATATGCTATATTGAGCAGAGATCTTCTAATGTTCCAGTCACAGAGAAAGGATTATTCCAATGGTTGTTGAATGCTAAACACGAATGTCTTCCCAGGAACTTCAGAATAGAGGAATATTTTTAGATATAGATTCTATCATCCTGAATAAGGATGTACCGACTGTTCGATTATGGGTGGCCTATATGTTGGAAAAATTCCATTTCCGGCGCTTATTTAATTGGAGAATGATCGATTTTCTTAGAGTGGCGGGTATAATAATTTTCATCATAGAATCCAGTCCTAAATCTAAAGAAAATTTATTGTTGCAAATAGTAAAAGCAAAATGTTCTGTTGTTAAAGTGGAGGAGATATCAGATATAACTAATGCTAATATTCTCGATTGTAAGACTGCTGAATTTCTAGAGAATAAGCCAAGAAAGACTTTAAGGGAAATGCGCTCCTTAGACTGGCACCATATTGTGGATTGTTATGGAATTTCGCCTGAAATATTAACTGAAGATTTTATCTCGAAGTACGGAAATTATAATCATATGAAATGGTTTAGAGCTTATAAGCAATTGCGAGATGTGGATACTAACAATAAAATAGCCGTTGAAGCTATCATTCGTAAAGATTATTGGGAAGACAGACTTACAACTACTACCTGAGCTGAAAGACATTGAATTTGCCTGGAATTATTAAGGATATGTACGCCAGCTAGAGATATCGATGATAGAGTAAGATATAAAGCTAATGATGTCAAAACACGTCTGAATTCCTTTGAATCAATATTATATCTCCAGGATTTAGTGCCTAAAATGGCTTGAGTGTTTGACAATATAGATACATCGCGCAGTGCTAAAAAATCAGGGTTAAAAACAATTCGAGCAAAACTTGGCTTACTGAATTCAGTCCTGTATACAACCTATGGTTTGAAACTTAAGGCTATAGATAAGAATCTCAAATATTACCATCTGATTGGGTCATTTGATAGCAAAGATGCTCTTGAATTACCTTTATACCAAACAGGGGAAGAAGTTTATTGGGGAAATGGGAAAAATACTCAGTATAGTATAGTAAACTCCCACCCGATGAATTATTAATGGAAAATCTTTTGAAGAATAAGCAGACTAAAGATAGTTCTAGTCCCTTTTGCAAAGTGTCAATTGCGAATGATATTCAAGACTTATTTGATAATAGATAATTTCATTATAAAACAATCTGGATATACTACTAGAGTTTACAAAAATAGGTCATACATTTGAAGATAAGTCTTCTTCCACTATTTTATATAATATTTCCGAAGAAGACTTATTCTCAGAATATACTAAATATTCTTCTGCCATTAATTTATATAATATTTCATTTCGTGAGATAAATACCCAACTACATACTATTAAAAATGCACTATCTGACTTTGATGCTTGACCAATAGATAGAATAATATTTTTTGCCCACCCTTCGACAGACATTTAGAAGTCTTTGCGAGTTGAAGAGCCTCAGCCTCAGCCTTATGTTTTTGCCTCATTCGCATAATTATGTAAATGAATACTGGTGGAGTGGTCGTGGCAATACCCCGAATTAGCATTAGTGAAAAATTCACAACCACTAAAAAGACAGGGTTTCTTTTTTAAATTCTTTTCATACAATTTCCAGTGCCTATAACACCCTTCAGGGAGTCAGCATTTATTTTCACAAACAGTACCATCCCTTTTGATATATGGGCAAGTAAAGGGAGCTATGTAAGTATTTTAGAATATAAAACCCTCTTTCACTTTTAATTTCATAATAAAATATATATTTAAATTAATCGAAATTATAATGAGATAAATTATCTTTTCATACTAACGTTTTAGATACATTAGATCAACCGACAGAAGCTCACGAAAAATATATAACCCCAAATCTAATCGCATGATAGCCATAAATGGGCAAGTATATCATAAATTGCTACTCGATGGTTATATGCATTTGAGAGAAGAAAGGCTTCTGAATCTGCCTTTACATAAATTACCAATATTAAAAAGATATCTTTCTTTCATCTCCTATCGTATTTGGGGTATCGTATTAGGAAGAAGTTTACATCAGGAAATTTGTTTAGGCGTAATTTAGTGTAATATTTCGGAGGTGGTGTAAAATTTCGAAATATTACACTAAAAACGTAATATTACAAAAGTTTACGCTTTTAAATTTGAATAATTATAGTAATTTAAGAATATCTCGCTATCTACTAATCCAATCAAGACGATCTATAGCTCATTGGAATCAGCTCATCAAGACGAATCAAATGGTAGTAAAATCGCATTTCTACAGTTAATAAAACGCTCTATAGTATGCAATAAAGTTTTAAATTAATAGAAAGTCATCTATTGAACGTAGAGATATGATTTTATTACCATTCGATTCGTCTTGATGAGCGGATTCCAATGAGCTATAGATCGTCTTGATTGGATCAGTAGATAGCGAGATATTCTTAAATTACTATAATTATTCAAATTTAAAAGCATAAACTTTTGTAATATTACGTTTTTAGTGTAATATTTCGAAATTTTACACCACTTCCGAAATATTACATTAAATTACACCTAAACAAATTTCCTGATGTACTAATGATGGTTAACGAAAAAATAAATCTATTGCAAATCTTGCTCCAAGCTAATTGGCACAATTTCACTTTATGTCAACTATTAAAATTATGCTGGGAACGTGAAGAGACAAAAGTTTGAAGAAATAACGTACTCATAAAATTCCTCCATCATCCGAATCTAGCTCCTTCAAAATATAGACCAAGTACTTTATATAATGTATTCACCAAGACAAATGTTTTAGGACTGGAACATATATTAGCTCTAGCACGAGCTTTTTACTAAAACATGATTCAATACAAATAATTAGTTCATAGCCTTGGAATGGCAGTTTCATGACTATGTATATATTTTTTTCGCATATCCTATCTACTCGCAATTTTCAAATATTTGCAGAGCAAACTCCGGCCATAGTGGGTGATCTCATAGAGACCCAGCATAAGCTATATCATTATTTTTTTCGCTCCTCCAATCTTCTGATAGCTTTCTACCGACCATGAGGTAGTGAAATATTGGGAATATTTTTTTTGAATTGAAGTTTCTCAGATATACTATAACCTAAGAGTTGCATATAATCTAACAGTTACCCATAACCTAAATTCATATTATCATGTCCGCAATTATAACAAAGTACGTTGCAAACCACAAACTCAATAAAGATATGAGTAATAAAGAACTTAGCCAACACGCTTCAGTATTACTTGAGCTTTTGACAGATAAACTAAAAAGACTCAAAGGTCGTCAGCACTTACAGGGGGGCTATAGTTTTAGCAAAAAACAGGTATTTCTATTGATTCCTGAATAGAGAATTGAGCAGTGCATAAGTCAAGCAACTTCCCGGAAAGAAGGGAGTTTGTCCAGGACTGAAGTTAATATATGTGATGCTAAAGGCATCTATCAAGTATCTGATATCATCCCAGAAGGTGAGACTATTAGAGAAACAGCTCAACGTATTGTTCGGAATAATCTTAGTGAAAGAGATGTAAAAGTGATATCTAGAACCTTAGTTGAAACAGCTTCTGATCCTGTAGTTACCTCATCACGTCTCTCCAGGCTTTGAAGAGAATTGCGAATCCTCAATGCTCCAGAAAAAATAATCTCTGCTATCAGGATTCTGGATATAACCAGAGCATCTAATAAAATCCAACAGGAGCGTACTGAGTATAAAAATGAAGGATTCCATTTTCCAGACTACTTCTCGTTAGAATCGGTTAAGGAATGGCTAGATTTGTATGTTGTGTTTAACACACCTGATAAACAGGCCCTAACTGATGTAATGATCATGCTCTGTATCCGCCCTGCTGAAATTAAAAACTTACGCATAGCAAATGGAGGTGTAACTGAATACACAAAAAACTGAGGCCAACAGGATATTTCTCGGGTGTTTAGATCACTGGAAAAAAATGAGGAGCGAGCAAGACAATTGCTTACATGAATTCAGAAAGCAATCACTTCCAGAGCGTTAAAAGATCTAGGAAAACCTGGATCGATATACTTAAGTTCATTTCTGAAAAAAGATGAATATATTCCTAAACCTTATGAGCCACTACTCCCTAGTTCTTTGCGTAAATTAGGGGCGGTATTTGCTTCTGCAGTACATGGACCTAAAAATCTGTTAAAAGCCAATACTTATACCAGTGAAGCATTTCGCCACAGTCCTGACAATCATACTTCTCCTTCTGATAGATATACTATAGTTAATTTCAGAAGGAGGGCAACCTTATGATCAAGCAAAACCATTCTGGATTTCTGATGAAAACTAATCACATATATGGGTTAGAGGGTCGAGAGGACTGATTTATCAGTCTGATATCATTTATTAATTTTGTTTTTTCGTTCGCCTAAGATCTAGCATATATAAATATTACGAAAATGGCCAGAATTGAATTAACTGATCAAAAGCATCTATCTGATAGTATAGCTAGTAAGCAGGAAGTTATCAGATACACAAAGAAATTAGCCCAGATATTTTGACTAAACAAGCAAAATGCAGAAGTATATAGTGCACTTTCCAGTGAAAATAGAGCACTAAAGAAACAATTGGAAGACTATCATTCCCAATACAACACTTTAGAAAAGAGGGTAAAAAGATTAGAGAGAAATATAAAGTCCTTAGAGAGTGAATTAGAGGATTTAGACGAATGTGTAGATAGTGAGACTGTGATCGACTTGATACATAAAATAGTTCCCTCGCTAATTGGTAAAAAAGGGCTGAAAAGTGCTATGCATAAAGGTTTCTCCTATTCGGTTGAGTCTTCTGAAGAATCTGATTCAGTCAAGACAATTGTGATAAGAGAAAACGAGGCTATCCCTCATAAGCAATGAAGGAAGGCATGACCAAAAAAGGTTAAACAGTTGGTGGTTTAAAAGGGCTGAGCCAGAGGGATTCGAAAAATCAGGCGCTTTGCATGATCACTAGATTATCTTATTGAGCGTTGAATAGAGGTTTAATTTTATATTTGAATATTATATATGCTATAAAAAAATGGTATTCGTGAATTGTGTAGTCGAAGAAAAAATCCCTATTGAGGCATCAATTGATACGTCCATTGATGTGAATTGCATTAGCCAAAAACATATTGGTGAATTAGGAATTACATATCACAGTGAAAGCAATAGCATTGTAACTCCAGATGCATTTTATTCCACATTAGGAAAAGTCAATTTGCATATTGGTTTTGAAGATGGCGAGAAGCATAAAAGCACACCCGTTGAATTCATAGTTTCTGGACTAGATTGGCCTGATTATTTTCCTGACTTAGTATTGGGAGGGCCATGGTTTCAAGAAAATGGTGCAACTTTGGATATATGCGATTCAAAACTATTATTAGATGATAATTTTGCGATCCCATTCAAAGAAGTAAAAAATGAACCTAATGTAGAATAACGATTATCTGAAGTAGTGATCATCAATATGCGTAATTTTGCAAAGTGTTTTAACGGCCATTTTTTTTGTTAAAGATACCACTAGTCGAAATAGTCCAATTCAGCTAGATTTTGTATAGGCAAATTTGGCTCAAATTATAGTTGAAATTCAGCCGAAGTTAGACGAATCTTTTAACTGAAAGTTTTTATCAAGTGTTACCATTCAGACTGCCACTCGTCTTAATTTTAGCTAAACCTCAGTAGATTTTGATCTACCATTCGCATGACTTTCAGAATAAAAAATCGTATAACTTTCAGATAATATTCATTATAACGAATACTTAACATTCAGTCAGCTTTTAAACGCAATAAATTGTTATTTATTTAATAAAATATTTAATATTATATATTTAATACTAATTTATACTAATTATTATAATGTTCAATTTATATGCTATGCTAATAATAATATATTATAAGAATGTCCTATTTATATAATATAACACCTTCAAGATGACTTTCGTCATCAACTTCATTCACAACGCTAATTTTTTGATACAATAACAGTCAGTGTGCATGTCCATTTTACATTGCCGATTATATTAAAAACTCTTGTGTAATATTCGTCTAAGATATCTCACTGAAGACTTTCGTTCTAAGCCACAATATAATTAGTTTTCACTCTTAATATAATTTTTTCAACAGTACTTCTTCTATCAAAATAAGTAAAAGTTTGACCCATTCTACTTTTCTGTGAAATTTTATTCTATCAGCAAATTTACTTATTTTTGACACTAAAACCCAAGATTTTTATGCTACCAACTTTTAAATTAAAAAAAAAGTACCCAACGAACTTTGTTTTTAGCAATCCTTTTGGCGTAACCATTTTAAAAAACTACATACAATAGGACTTTTTAGCGAAAAATGCTATTATGTTTTTATATAATGAAACTTTGAAGACTCCTTCTATTAAAAATTAAATTTATTTAAGGTAGTATAACAATTAAATATAAAATTATTAATAATTATTGTTTTATTATATCTATGACGAGATATTTATTGATAAAATTTGATTTTTATCCCATTCATTTCCTAATACTTCCCTACTTGTTCTATTTATTCATTATTTAAATATTTAGAACAAGTTACTAATGATTCTAAAAGCCTCTTTTCTTTAGATTTAGTTTCACAACAAGCTTATCTTGATTTTTTGTTGGTGGGTCATCTTTATTTGTAATTACTACTTGTGATATCAAGTATATTGGTACGCATACTGGTTAAAGCTTTAAAGGGTACCTGTTAGTTTAATAGAAATAATTTGATTAGAATTTTCTGCATTTGAATTTGATGCTAATGATATTGACTCAACAATAATTTAAAAGGTCAATTGTTACTTCTTTTTTTTTTTTGAATTTTAGTCTAGTTTAACCATAAATTTGCAATTTATTATCTAAATAATCAAATAAAATAGGACCCCGGATATCTAATATAAAGGTCATAATGGACTTTTGGCCAAAAACACCCCTTTTTGCTGAAACTCAAAAAATCGTTTTTTGTAAATATCTCANGTCTAAGATATCTCACTGAAGACTTTCGTTCTAAGCCACAATATAATCAGTTTTCACTCTTAATATAATTTTTTCAACAGTACTTCTTCTATCAAAATAAGTAAAAGTTTGACCCATTCTACTTTTCTGTGAAATTTTATTCTATCAGTAAATTTACTTATTTTTGACACTAAAACCCAAGATTTTTATGCTACCAACTTTTAAATTAAAAAAAAAGTACCCAACGAACTTTGTTTTTAGCAATCCTTTTGGCGTAACCATTTTAAAAAACTACATACAATAGGACTTTTTAGCGAAAAATGCTATTATGTTTTTATATAATGAAACTTTGAAGACTCCTTCTATTAAAAATTAAATTTATTTAAAGTAGTATAACAATTAAATATAAAATTATTCATAATTATTGTTTTATTATATCTATGACGAGATATTTATTAATAAAATTTGATTTTTATCCCATTCATTTCCTAATACTTCCCTACTTGTTCTATTTATTCATTATTTAAATATTTAGAACAAGTCACCAATGATTCTAAAAGCCTTTTTTCTTTAGATTTAGTTTCACAACGAGCTTGTCTTGACTTTTTGTTGGCAAGTCATCTTTATTTATAATTAATACTTGTGATATCAAGTATATTGGTACGCACACTGGTTAAAGCCTTAAAGGGTACCTGTTAGTTTAATAAAAATAATTTGATTAGAATTTTCTGCATTTGAATTTGATGCTAATGATATTGACTCAACAATAATTTAAAAAGTCAATTGTTACTTCTTTTTTTTTTGAATTTTAGTCTAGTTTAACCATAAATTTGCAATTTATTATCTAAATAATTAAATAAAATACATGATAAAAAATTTGTATTCATGGGTGGATTAAGTCTACAATATATGCAAGTTCATTTACATCTTCAACAGCCGTTAATAAAAGTGAAGGAACTTCTTGGTTTTTATATTTACCAAATTCTTCTTTATTTTAATCACTTGAATAATCTACAACTTCTTGTACAAGTGCATTTTGTGCATTAATATAATTTTTTCATTAAATTTAAATATTTCTAACTTAGAAAGTTCGTATCAAAATCTTCTTCAGTTTCTTCTAAAAATATTTTTTAACTATTATAATATAAAATAGTTTTTCTTCAAAAGTAATTTCATAAGTCTTCATATTAATAAATTGAAATTTAAGCAAACTTTGACGTTAAGATTCTTTTAAACAAGAAACAATATTATGTCAAAATAAACGTGAACAATATTAACATACCTCAAATAATAAACCTAACCACTTTATATTACATGATATGATATAATATTCTGTTACAAACAAATGGAAAGTTGTTGAATTTTGTGGTTTTCTATATGTTTTTAGATTTTTTACTATGATATGCAGCATGCAGATCTCTTAATTAAAAATGTTACACAACCTGATCAGGGGACATGCATACTGACTGATAAACAAATAAAATAAAGGTTAAAGCAGAATTATACTGAAATAACATCGAACGTTAAATTTTAGCGAAATAACATCAAATGTATATAATAATTACCAACACTCCATTAAAACGTGTCAGCATCATCGTACATATAGTCATCATATATACTCTCGTATCCTATATTGGAATCATATACGACATTACTATTTCCTGGTTCTACACACGTCCATTGTGGTACATCGTTCAGAGGTTGGACATCAAAATTTTGCAACGTATCGTCATAATTTCTACGTCTAGTTAGTTATGCGTTTTGTTGTGTAAATGAATAAGGATCTAATACTTCCCTAAAAAAAGTTTTTAACTAGAAAGAAATAAGTTAGTGTAAATCTATAAATTACTATAATAAGTCAAAAGTTAGTACATATCTCTGATGATCTTCATGATCGATTATACACAACTATTTGACATTTTTTTGACGCATTTTCCTCATTCGTTTCACTCAACTCTGGTGAATGATATCTGATATCTTGAATGATATTGATCATCTCTTGTTTTTCATAGTAAGTGATTCTCATGTCGTCTTTATTATATAAAGCTTTGGCAGCTTTTAGTTAACGAATTTTTTTTTAAACGCAAAATAACATGGGTAAAACGTTTATATTTAACTAAAAACAACCAAAATTCTTATGTCATTTATCCTCCCATTTGCGTGTAGATAATGATCGTTACTATCGAATTTTCCCTTCTTCTTGTAATTATTCCTACTTCGTCTAAATTTATGCAATGATATTAGCCATTTCGTCAACTGATCGTAGGTAGGGTTAAAATTCAGCTTTAAGCTCTTCATTAGTTCTGGTATTAATTGTTTTCTTATGTCTACGTTAGTTTTGCTCATAAATGTTTGATCATAGTCCAGGTCAAATTTGGCAGGCATAGTTTTCAAAATGGTCTTCATTTCCATTTAAATTATTAACAGTAATAAAAAATTTGGTAAATATTAGCACGAAACTATTTTTTAAAATATTACTAATCCTTGCATCTTTATCGTCCTTTTCATCCTTATCGTCCTTTTTATCCTTTTCGTCCATTTCAGCATCCATGTCAATAATTTTGTCGTCCAAATCTTCACTATCATTATTCCTAACATTGGCAAATAAAAGGTAATTAATTATACGAATAGTTATAAATCAAATAACAAAAATTTATGATACCTTTGATGTTTACGTTTAGGCTTTGAGTTTTTTTTCATACTTCTTGGCATTCGAAGGTTCTTATAAAAATCGATTCGTTCATAAAGTCTGTCGTTCTCTTTTCTGAATTTCTCATTTATTTTTATTAGCATTTCATTTAATTCTTTCGACTCTTCAAGTTCTTTATTAAGTTTGTCTATCTTATATTGCAATTCCATATTATCAGCTCTTAATTTCCCATTTTCTACCTTCAGATCTAAAAATTGAAGGTTTTCAAATATATATCTATATATCGTAAAAACATTCATCAATAAACAATTAAGAATTGATAATCAAAATTTACCAAAATTACTCAAATTTTTTTCCGATGATCCAAAGTTTCAGTTGCTTCAACTCGACTTTCGTCTAGAATTATCGATTTCGGTAAATGGATTTTTGGAATTTTTACTTGTAAGCCTGCAAGCTTTGATTTAATAATATTTGATGATGATTTCGTATTGGAGAGAGAAGTTCGTGAAGCACTCGGTTATGAAGATGATTTCGTATTGGAGAGAGAGGTTCGTGAAGCACTTGGTGATGAAGATGATTTCGTGTTGAAGGGGGATCTTAAAGTACTCAGTGATGAAGAAGATGATTTCGTGTTGAAGGAGGATCGTAAAGTTTCTGATGACGTGTTGGAGATTCGTAAAGCAGTTTCTTCCTTATCAACATTAGGAGGGACGAGATAAAAAACATCTCTTTCGTTTCTTTCAGTTCCTTCTTTTTTTCCCTTTTTATTAATATTCTTTGATGTGTCCTTTGATATATTTGAAAAAAATAAAACTTTTCTTAATTGTTAAAATAGCCAAAATTTATTTACTCTTATTAAATTTATTAAATTTATAAAAATATATAATAAAATTTTACACGAAAGTATTTTGAAATTGTAAGAAAAAAAAAGTTAAGTTCTAGGACGAAACTTTGAAGAATCGAGTTTTTTATAGTTTATTTATAGTTAAAAATTTGATCAAAAGCTTAATTTATACTATTAAATTCTTAAATTTGATAAGTGATTTATTGAATTTTTTATTAATAATTCGATAAGTTACTTTACATTAAGTTGATGGAAATTCGATAAATCAATTTTAGTTGATGCACTGGTAAAAAAATGATTTATCTTACACATATCTTACACATATTGGGTACTTAAAATGTAGAAAATCATACACAAATAATACATATATCATACACATATCGGGTACTAATATATATATCATACATATATCAGGTACCTGATAGGTATACTATATATATAAGTACCCGATATGTGTATGATATGTGTATTATTTGTGTATGATTTTCTACATTTTGAGTACCCGATATATGTAAGATATGTGTAGGATATGTGTAGGATAGACCATTTTTTTACCAGTGATGTGAAATTCACCAAATCACTTAAATTTGATGAGAATTCAATACATCACTTAAAGTTGATGGAAAATTCGTAAAGTTTGATGAGAATTCGATAAATCACTTTTAAGTTGATCGCTCAAGTTGAAAATTCGTTAGTTGAAACTTCACTAGCAACAATTATATGATAATTATTGAATCGAAACAAATTTTGATACAATTCCATAATTATCAAAATTATCTGAAATTTTTGACAAAATGGGACAAAAAAGAATGATATCTAATGTACTTGATAAAAATCCTATTACTACCAGATCACTTCGAGTTACTACTCGATCAATCATTCAGCCAAGAATTCGTAAAGTACCCTGTTTATGTAGCGATTGCGAAGGAAAGTTAGTTGCTTCTTGCACAAAGAATCGACATGAATTATCAAGCCAACTTTTGTCAGATGTTTCAGAAGTAATTATCGAAAATACTGAAATTTGGGATAACGAACTATCCGAAGTTTTGGAAAATACTGAAATTCGGGATAATGAACCATCTGAAGTTTTGGAAAATACTGAAAATATTAATGATAAATCATCTCAATTGACTATTTTAAATGAGCAAAGAGTTGATCGATTGCCTTGAAGACGTAGATCAAGGTATATTTTGACCAGAGTTTCCATTGGTAATATCGGTAACATTGAACAAGATTTATCACTGAGAGAAAGTACGGCCAAAGATCAAAGCGAAGATGCTAATGAAGATAACAAATCGAATGGAGATAACAAATTGAATGGAGATGACGAATCGAATGGAGATGATGAATCGGAAAATAACAATTCTGAAACTTTTAAAGATTATTCATGCCTTCTTTCGAATCATATCAAAACCCAGATGTCACTCCAACTCTAACTAGTAATGATAATAAGTTTTTATGGATTTTAATATGGATTATGAAATTTTGAATGAGATTTAACATTCCAAAAACAGCAACTGAATCACTAATAAAGTTCATAAAACTGTTATTGGATGAAATTAGTGATACCGCATTTGAAAATTTTCCCGTCACTTTATACAAAACGAGAAATATTCTCAACATAGAAGATCGATTTCATAGCTTTGCGGCATGTACGAAGTGTCACAAATTATACAACAAACAAGAAGTAGAGGAGTTTCGTCAAGATGAAATTCTTGCCATTATAAAATGTCAACATATCGAATTTCCAAATTCATCGAGACGCCAGAAGTGCCAAACTCCTTTATCTCATCAAATAAGATTATTAAATAAAGTGTCAAATCAAATTGAGATGATTTATCCATTTTCTACAATTCATCAACAATTAGCAACCCTATATCTTTGATCAGGATTCAAAAGGTCACTCAGACATTGGTCTGATTGATCACATTCTGAAAATATATTGACCGACATTTACGATGGTCAAGTGTGAAAAACATTTAAGAATACTACTTATTATGATTCACCTAATTTTTTCCAGCTTGAAGTTACAGATTCACACCTTGGTTTAATGCTGAATGTGGATTGGTTCCAACCCTATGAAGGGACAATTCACAGCACCGGTGTGATATATGTCACCATTTGCAACTTGCCTTGGGATATTCGATTTAAAAGAGAAAATTTATTAATTCTCAGAATATTACCAGGTCCTAACGAAGTGAGTCTACACCAAATCAATCACTATTTACACCAATTGTCAATGATTTAGAATTACTATGAAGTGGAATAACTCTAAATCGAACATTTGAGTGCCAAAACGGAAAAAATATTTGTGCGGCTTTAGTACTAGTTTCGTGTGATATTCCCACGGTAAAGAAGATATGCGGGTATATTTCAGCACTTGCATCATATCACTGGTGCAAAAAACAAGCAAATTATGAGAATCGACAAAATAATTTCACTGGGATGAACAATATAGACGAATGGTTTGTTACTCGAGATTCATGAAAATGCGCATGAATGGCGACGTTGTAGCTCTAATGCTTCACGAAAACGTTTTACGAAAGATACTGGAGTTAGATGGTCAGAATTATTGCGGTTATCATACTTCGATCCTATAAGGTTCATTGTTGTCGATCCAATACACTGCTTATTTCTAGGCATCGCGAAATGGATAGTGAAAAGAATTTGGGTTGATGAAGGAATTTTGAACTAACAATCGTTTATAAAAATTTAAAAAAAAATGGATGAGTTTCAGATTCCATCCGATTTGAGACGAATCCCTGGGAAAATCCATTGCGGAGAAGAATTTTCAAATTTTACAGCAGATCAATGGCGAATCTTTTTCACAATTTACGCTACAGTATCGCTATAGTGTCACCTTTCAGTACATGATCAGAAAATTCTCCATCATTTTGTGAGAGTTTGTATTGCTTTCGTAAGTCGAATTTTAGAACTTGATGTTGTGAGAGAATCGCATGAGAGATTGATTGAAATTGTGAAGTTGATTGAGGAACATTATGGACGAGATAAAATTACTCCTAATCTCCATCTTTCACTTCATTTGAGTGAATGTACGTATGATTTTGGACCTTTATACGCATTCTGGTATTTCTCCTTCGAACGCATGAACGGTGTATTAGGTAAACTATAACTATTTATTTAGGTTTAATATTCTTATTCTTAATTTATGCATAATCGTAATTTAAATTTTAGGCGCCTTATCGAACAGCCATAGGAAAATAGAACCAGAAATTATGCAACGAATAATGGCTGATATCCACATTGATAGTATTATAAATTCTGGAAAAAATGTAAAGGGACTAAAGCTTCTCAATAACTGAGCTTTTGTTGGATCCTTGGCAGAGGCTGACGAATTTTCAGCTGATGAAATGGAACGATTTTGGTTGAATTTGCAGAATATTCAACAATTAATAGTCACTGGAAACGAGTCGTTTCCAGATGAAATGTTGGGTCCTGCTTCTGAAAATGTAGTGATGTCAAATTCAATGCTTGATTTACTGGTCGAATACTATTTGGTGACTTATAAAACACTTGAGTTTCAAAAGCCATTCAGAGAAGGCCACGAGAATTTAAGGATCATTTCTGTCAAAATGAAACAGTTCAGTAGATGTAGAATCGGTTCAGAGACATTTGGGTTAAATATGTCAGCTCGACATGTAAAGAACTCGTATGTTTTAGCCAAATTTATAACACAAGACGGTAGTGTCAATTGTTATCCCAGATAAGTTCAATTCTTTTTTTCCCACAAGATTGACTTACCGGATGGAGAATTGGAACATAATTTGGCATTCATTCGATGGTATCAACTAGCGAATTCTTATTATTATTTCAGTATTGAAGACGATGAAATTTGCAATGTCAAACTTTGGGATACTGAATTTTACCCTGAAGGTCGAGATTGCATAATTCCAGTGCATAATATTATCAGTAGTTTTGTGCCAATAAAATATAAAATTTTGGATAGGAAAAATGCGAGAGAATATTTGGCCGTAAATTCTGTTAATAGAAAATTTAATATTCGTTAAAAATAATAATAATAAATCTTCATTTTTGTTAGTCGAAATTTGACAGAAGTTGTTGCTTTTTATTGGATTTTACATAAATTCTTTTTTTTTGAGTTTTACATAAGTGTCACTTGTTCATAATAAATTTTGGAAACCGAGTTTTATATAATAATCGGAACTTCAGAAAATCAGAGCATTGGAAGAACTTCAGAAGAACTTCGGAAAAGAACTTCGGAAATCACGTGAGTCGAAATTAAGCTGAAATTAAATTCAGACGAATTTTGACTGAAATTTATTCTGAAACTTAGCCGAAAGTCATATGTCCGAAATTTCTTATTTCGACTAGTGTACAGCATATATTATTTATGGCGCAATCAAGTATCTTTTATTTACCAGAACTATTAGAACAGATTTTACATTTTTTAGCAATAGATAAATCTCTCTATCCCGCTTTATATGTTTTCTGATTGTGATACAGATGCGGTGCACCTATTCTGTGAAAACGTATCGAATTGAAAAGAAAAAACTTATATTCTGAACAATCTCTTCCAAATGATTACTGTGCAAAGGACAAAAAAATATAAATTAACTAACCTGTTCTAGACATGGGCATTGGTTTATACTAGCTGAATTTTTTACGAAAACTTCATGCTATTGTTGAGGAGAGACCTTCAGAAATAACAGAATCCCTCTCTAGTAAAATAAAACGTTTTACCCCTATTGATAAATTTCTGTATTACCAAACTTGGAACGTCTAAACTTTTAAATATATGCTCTCATATCTTTCTCAGCATCTTCTTTTATCATTTCTTCATTAGTATAACTGACAATATCAAGATAAGCTTGAATCATGCTTATATCCGCTTCCAGATATAAAAGCAAATGGTATTTTTTTCTAAGTGTAAATTCTCCTGTTGATCTTTCGATAAGATCTTCTCTATTTTGATGTAATATATTAAGGATTGGGTTGCCACCAGTCTCAAGTTCCTCCTCTATTGATATAATTTTCTCCACCAAATCTAACAATAGATTACTTGTATTATCAAAGTAAGCATATGCTACTACTTTCTTGTTTTGATTCAATCTTGTTTGGTTTGCATTTTCATTAATAGATGAGTCTACGTGAGACCTCAAACCACGTTTTCTTTCGGCTATACGCTTCTGAATAGCTAATATATCCATCTTCTTATACAAAACCACTTCATATAGTTAATTTTCAAGTATTTCGCTTTGAACCAATTTATGATTGGTATCACTTGTTATGATTGTGTTTATCTCTGGCTAGCATATATTCAATTTTGAGTTCAAAATATGACTCATCAGTCCGGAGTAGTGATCTTCAGCTCAGAAGATTTTTTGCTAAGCTATGGATTGTGTGACAAAAATAGGCTGATTACATAATAGGTCTGTGCAACATTTTTGCATATTAATTTCGCATATATATTCGCTAACCAGTCCTCTATTTTTTTTTCCTGAACAAATGTGAGAAAAATATGAAAGGAAGTCTACATGCAACACAGGACCTTTCCTATAAGTAAATAGTATCGACAAAAGCATATGAAAGGCTGAGGGTCTTGCAATTTTGAGATTGCCAGGCATAAGACTAAAGATATTAGCCATAATTGATTAGCCGATGCTGTAATATTACAGCATACAGCATTACAGTTATGACACTTTTCGTAATACTGTAATTAGGCCGTAATGCTGTAATTAAGTCGTAATGTTGTAATTAGGTCGCTGTGAGCGGTTGAATACCTAGCATGAACAAATAATATACCAAATGGACAAATGTGAACGTTAAGTATTAAGTACGAACGAACAAATCTTGAATCAGCGTAAATGGATAAATGATTAGCCGAAAAGGATAAACATTTAGGAAGAGTAATGATCTACATGATGTAATATTTATTGAATGATCAACAAGGAACCAATAGATTGAGTAGGGAGTCGATCAATTGCGGCTTAGCAACCGGTTTATTGAGTTCAACAATAAGAACAATTAGAAAGAATAATTATAAGCCACAAAAAATAAATCATATAAAATGGAGGGATAGCAGATTAAAGGAACACGCATAATGAAAATACATAAAAACAATATTATAAAACATATTATAAAAAATAATATAAAAGATAATATGAAAAGATAATATAAAAGATGATACAGAAAGATATAAGCCACAAAAGATGGAATATAATATATTAAAGATAGAAACATATTAGAAGAAAGTATATTAAAAGATTGAACATAAAAGATAACATGCAACATACACTGGTAAAAAAATGGTCTATCCTACACATATCCTACACATATCTTACACATATCGGGTACTCAAAATGTAGAAAATCATACACAAATAATACACATATCATACACATATCGGGTACTTATATATATAGTATACCTATCATGTACCTGATATATGTATGATATATATATTAGTACCCGATATGTGTATGATATGTGTATTATTTGTGTATGATTTTCTACATTTTGAGTACCCAATATGTGTAAGATATGTGTAGGATAAATCATTTTTTTACCAGTGTATATTAAAAATAGAAATATATTGAAAGATAGTGTATTAAAAAGACGGAACATAAAAGATAATATAGAAACATATTAAAAAATAGCATATTAAAGATAGCATATTAAAATAGCATATTAAAAGATAGCATATTAAAAGATAGCGTATTTAAAATATAGATAGCATATTAGAAAGATAGTTCAAAGATAATATGTAAAAAGAACATAAAAGATAGTATATAGATAGCACATATTAGAATAAAAAGTATTATAAAAATTTGTTTGAATAGAGAGTGGAATTCAAAGCGAATTCCACAGTTAGTTTGGAATAACTCAATAAAAAATATAAGTTAAATTTAATTATTTGTTAATAAAGTATAATATTAATTAAAGGTAATAGGTTCGCCAGAACCCCGAACAATATATAAATAGGTCATAGGAAATTGGCAAAATTTTACTATTAGCTCTACGTATTTTTTCAGGGCCGGAATTATGATAATGTCAGTCAGTTACTAAATAAAGTAATATATTTCTTACCAACGTTATCAAAATTTATCTAAAAAAGGAAAGATTTTCATGATTATTTTAGCCTATTCTACGCGTTATTTCTTGTTACCTATTTCAGTATTGCTCGGGATCCTGGTTCGCCCTAAACTTTAATTAATGTTTGCTTAATTAATTTTAATTGAATAAAATGAAAATTTTAAGATGAATTAAATATACACTTTTGAAAAGTAATAATTCGTAGCAAGAGCTATCGAAGTTTGAAATTAAAGGTAAAGTGGATAAAAATTGGGGAACATTTAGAGAAGTTAAATTTAATTTTATGTCGCTTGATGTTTTATATTACTAACGCCATTTATGTTGTAAACCAAGAATGTTATTGTTATATATTGTCGTTTATACATGCTGCCCAAATTATTTTGGGATGCCATAATTATAATTTGGGATGCCATAATTCATTCGGTTTATATATAATTTACTATGTAAAGTGCCAAAATAATTTGGGATGCCATAATTGAATTTGGGATTTTATTTATAATTACGGCAGTTCAAAATAATTTGGGTGGCATGTATATTGTCGTTATATGTTGTTGTATGTTGTTTGTTAATTATGTTATTTATTAATTATGTCATTGATTATTTGCTTGTTTGTTTGTTTAATTGTTTGTTTGTTTGTTTGTTTGTTTGATTATTTGTTTGTTTGATCATAAGAATGCCTATTCGATGTGGCAACTCTGTAAATTGATGACAGAGGGAATAGGGGATCTCATTGCAATGCTATAATTAAGCTGTAATGTCGTAATTTTTAATAGTATAAAAATTTAAAATAAAAGTAATGAATTACAAAAGTAAAATTACAATAGTTTATATGTCGTGTAATTTTAATTTTAAAGGTACATAAGACGCGTCACATTTTTTTTTGTATTTTGTATACGCGTTTGTGTAAAGAAAAAAATTATATAATGAACCAAAATCCCTAGGGGTGGGTGGTTAGGGGAAATATTAAGTTTTTTTCAAAAAATTTATATTAAATTAGCATAATATCTTTAATAATTAGATGATTTTATGCATAATTTACATATAAACTTTTTTACAAAAAAAAAAAAATTATTATTATTATTATTTTGATATTATTTACCCCTTAAAATTGAAATTACACGGTCACATATTTCCTAAAATCTGAAATCCAAAATCCGAAATATAATTCTGGCCAAAATTAACGTAATTTCACTTAAACATGTAATTTCAGCCGAAAATCATAATTTAGCCAAAATGGAATGCAGAACTTTTTTTTTTTGGCGATAGCCATTCCACAAAAATTGATTTTAGTGGGGCACGGCTAAAGCGAAGCTAATGTGGCTCAAAAAATTTTCCAGATTCCCCCGATGTGGCACGTGCGGTAAATTAAATATTTACCTGTGGCGTCCAGCCGGCACAACGTTGAGCTGTAGCTGAGCTTGGGAGGTCCTTCATGGGTGTGGCGAGTGCTGGCATGAGCCTCACTGTTATGAAGGACCGCCCCTGCCATGCCACAGCGACACTGTTGTGACGAGCTGGGCCACTGTGGGTAAATATTTTCCCGCTATGTGCTGTCAGGAGAATCTGGTACAAAATTTTTTGAGCCACTGCAGCCCTGCCCGCTTTAGCCGTGCCCTTTTAGTGTGAACGACACTGGAATTTTGTGTAACATCACTTTCTTTTTTAGGATATTTGTTAATTTCTGCTAAAATTAAGTGCATAATTCTGGCTGAAATTACATATTTAATTTCGGAATTATGTCATTACGGATTAGTTACGGCATTAAGACCTAATTACCAGTATTACGATCTAATTATGGCATTACAACTTAATTACAGCATTACAACTTTTGCTTTTTAATGTAGATAGGTTGCAACCTATTACATACGACACTGTGTCTTAATATTACAGTTACAGCTAACATCTTTACATAAGACCAATGCTTAATATCTAGTGTTTGTATCCAGATATCATCCGGATAAATAAATCCGTCTCCGTTAAGAATTTTCAAATCTGGTTATCTGATAAAATATTTTTTACAAATCTGGATATCCATCCGGATTAATCCGTGATCTTCATGGATGTCTAACGGGTCATTAGCGAGTTTATACCCAGATAAAATCTGTGAACTTAATATAATTTATTGTATTTATACATATATCATTAATATTGTATAATAATTTGTAAATATAAAAAAAGTGGGTCCTGTGATCACCTGACGTTGAAGATAGGGCCTTAAGGCTAAGATGACGCGTTATAAATGACGTTTACCTACGGAGTCAAATGATCACTCGACAGTGCACACGTGGGGTACTATATGTATGACGAGTGGTTTGTAGTTTAATGATATTAGAATAGTTTCCTTTATTTGATACATACTTTGTATTTAGAATTCTTATTATATCTATTCTAATAAAACTGCAAATGCGCTGCGATTAAAAAAAAAAAAAGTAAATATAAAAAAAATAAAATTTATCTCAAAAGCATGAATTTATTCGTGTAATTTATATAAGGTATAGTTTAAACATCAATAGGAGTAGTAGTTAATTGTTGAGCTGGGTGAATATTAGCAAAATGGGGACTATTCCGTTTTAAGAACATAACACGACTAAATAACTCAGGTTTCATTCATGTTCTCTTAACAGTTAAAAGATTTCCCGCGTCTGAGAACAGTCATTCTGAGGGAGTAGATGCCGCATTTGGAGAGGGAGAAGTCAAAAAAGAAGTAATATCGCTTTTGCGCTGTGTCATACTGGAAAATGGAGTATTACAAATGACGATAAGCAAGATAAAAAGTGGTTTAACGCGTTTTAGTATTTTTATTACTTGGTGATTCATGTAGCGAAATATTGGACATTGAGACAATTATTACTACATTGTGCAGATTGGCATTTAATATTTCTTAAAATGTATTTGATCTGCTAACATAAACGGATATATCCGGAGGATCCGTTTAGACTAAAATTGTATCCGGATAACGTCAACTCAAAAAAACCTTTATCCGGATACCCACTTCTTACCGGATATCCATTAATACAACCGGATTTGCTATATCCGGATACAAACACTANCTATAGCTATAGCTATAGCAATAGCAATAGCTATATAGCTATATAGCTATATAGCTATTTTATAAGATTCAACTACGAAGTTCACATGGTGCATTCCCAAAAAGATGAAAATCTGCATGAAGATCAGAGGACAAACTACAAATTAAGCGAAAAAGTGAATGAATAAGGAAGGTCATGCAGGATGATCACCACTTCAAAATCATACTATCGCAAATAAAATAGAAAAAAAAATATAATTGAACATATTCAATGAAACATCCGGTCCGATATCGGATTGTCATTCTTTAAAATGAATGCTGTCATATCGATATGGTTAAAAAAGACCGTACTTTAAGCCAAACTTGATAAAGTTTAGGAAATTTCCTATTGATTATCTTGAATAACCAAAATTTTTAATTTCGTATGATTCTGAATTACGTCTATCAATGGATAAAAAAAAATACTTTCAGAAACTTAATTCCCCTGAAATGATTGCTCATCTTTCTTCTTCGGCTTTAGCTTGTATTCACAATCCATTTTTTCCTCATTCAATCTAACAACGTGATTATTTCAAATTTCTTATATAAATAAGAAAGAAAAGTGCTTATTAAAAAATATTAAAATTAATTTTTAAACACATTAAACTTACTATGCGACGTCCTATTTCTTTCACTTATATTATCATTGCAACCATCTGTAGCTTAATGAATATCATAGCTTTGATGCCAGCCACTAAAGGTAAAAAGCTCTAAAATATTTATTAGTTTCCAAATACAGTGATTTAATTTATTTAATAATATATATAGCATATGAGGTTCTACTTAGGAATTGGGGTGGTCAAAGTAATGGTAATTATATCTGATTTTATTGAGCTAAATTCCATGAGTGATTTGATATTATATATATTATGTATATTCCTTTTGATTTTAATTTATTTTATTTATGTACAGCGGAATGTTGTGTTTGGCAGGAAGATGCTCAACACAATTTCATAACTTATATACCTCAAAGTGTACCCAATGAGAAACATCATTATTATTATTGTTCCAATTGTGCGACCTTCGATGGTATGGATAAAGAGGGTGCAGATTTAAGAAATGGGATTCTTACTTATCGCACGTTAGATGATACTACAACATACTGGGCTGATATGGTAGTTAGTTTTAAACCTGGTAATAATCATATTCGTACAAATCGAGGTGGTGATAGTGGTTATAATAACCATACCTGTTTCCACGTATTTGGTGACCATAATGAAGCAAGACTTGATGAAGCTCCTTACGAAGAATGTCAAAAAATCAGAGATTCAAATTAAGACCGCATATCTTTACAAAAACAATGCATCAATCATTGGTCTTGTATAATGTACTTTGCAGATACTAATTATATCATGAAAAAAAAATACTCTTCAATATCAATATTTATTAAAAAATAATATGTATCCTGGGCTACGTCCTCTATTCTATCTAAATTAGTCTAGCGTGCAATGTGCATCCAAAAAATTACTCATAATTGATTCAATATCCACTTCCCGATATTTAATAAAGAAATGTTTTACCTTTATTAGATTCTTGTCTTGAGCAAATTTCAGCCGGGGTTCCCCGGTCAAAAAACACATTTTTTTATTTTGAATGCTTATATACATTGTATTAGTTATATATAGATCATGTCATCCGAGCTTGAATTATTGAAACAGCGTATCACTGAACTTGAAGCTAAGAACGACAAGCTTGAGGCTGAGAATGACGCAGGGCAATAGCTTTATTAGTAAATATTTCGAGTACGTAAAACTTTATGCTATGCTCACTGGTAAAGATTTGGATGATGTAGACGTTAAAGTAAAATTCATCAGTGGATTATCATCCGATAATAAAAAGCGCGCGCAGAAGAGTTTGGGTTTAAAAAACCTTTAAAGAGATAGTCAAATATTTAGTTAGAGATTCAACACTTTCTACCGAAATACAGAAATACAAAGTGGGGGAGCTGAAACAAGGTAATGAATCGGTAAGGCCGTAAGGGTATTTTATCAAAAATTAGAAAGGCTTAGAAAGCTTTCCGGATGTGATGAGGAAAAAATTATTTTGCGGAATTTCAAGAAGTCAAATTATGGGGGATGAATCTTCCTTTGGATGAGTTGATAGAAAGGCTTGAAACACTAGAACAACTTTCCGGATAATCTCAGTGGTGATCAGTATCTCGGAAGAATTTGCTGGGCCACAGATTGTGGATTACTAGCCTTATTTTCGATTGAAAAAATCTCCGAATCATATAAAATGCATACAGTTAATTTGCTTACGCCAGAACTAATACCATTTATTCTAAAAAATATGTCGATACAGGATCTTAAAAAATCTTGTACTATAAATGATATATGGAAAGATGAGGTGTTTCGAGAAATTCGCAAAAGATTAATAGTGGACTGTACATTTGTTATTGACAAAATAACTGTTAAGGCATTAATTGATCCTAAATCCAGGTATAATAGTATCAGTAAAATGCTTGCCCAAAAAATTGGTTTATATGTTACTAGAATCTATGGTTCAGAATATCCCGCAGTAAAAGATCTTGGCATTGGCGCAACAAACGCTGGCAAGAAGGTAATTGTAAATATTTTTAGCTGAGCGTTTTTTCTTGTTAAAGACATTACGGGTCATGTCAGAGGGAAATTGTCGCTTAATTTCTACATTAAGCAAGATTTTCGCGGTTTGAGTAGGATGAATAGATTTTAATTCAGCCAATTTCTTCTCCAATGCTTCCCCGAGAGGATAGTGTGAGTCAAGGATTTCATATTCCACGCGGGATACTTCAAGTGTTTTTTCTTTAAGAATCTTCTCACCATCAAGTATTTTATTGTGTAATTCGACGAACACCATATCTGGAGTTGTAGGGTTCACCGTTTCCACATTCGTCACCGGCAACGGATTAAAGTCTTGTGGTTTGTTGGATAACTCTTTAAAAAATTTTTTAACCCTATCTTCTTCTTCTTGAGGATTTAACCTTGCATCATCATCCTCGCCAAGATAAATAAATAGTTGACAACGAGGACATGTATCTTTTTTTAAGGAAATAATAATACATCTAAGATGGAAGCTATGATGACAAGACAATCTCACGACTGGTTCCAGGTTAGCTCCATTAGGTTCGAATAATGGATCGGGTTCATTACACAAAGAACATGTTTCGGATCCCCCTTGAGCGGATTCCCCTTGAGAATTGGTAGGTGCAGTGGGTTGAATCTTGTAATAATGGATACTTCTATTGATTGTACTTTCATATTGAGGGTCAAATTCTTCTTCATCGGTCAATGGAACACGTGGAGAGGTATTATTGGATCTTTCTGATTCCATTAGTATTATTTTTTGAGAAGTAATTTATGGGAAAATGTTATGATGAGCGAAAGGAGGGGGTTTTTATACTTTCTGAATACTCCACTCGTGATCGTGAAATTATAACAACTGGAACTTGCTAGAAGAAATTTCAAAACAGACTACTCAATAGCCCATTACATAGTAAATAATTCATTTGTATTACTGCAAATCTGCAAATGTAGCACAATCCCCAAGACTTTTATTATATAACATTTGTTTTTTCTACTGCGTCCAATACCACATGATAAAACAATAAAATTCTAAATTTACTATACTAAATTAATGAAAAAAACTCTAATCATCTTCTGATGCACCGCCATAATTAAAAGTGACATTGATCACGTTCGCATTTTGCGAAAAAGAAGGAATTGTTGGGGTTACGGGTCTGGAAATATTAGGTGTTTCGGCAGGATTTGATGATGTTGCGAGTGATGATGATTTGCCAGAGGCGCCAATGGTAGGTGACTCCTTGACAGCTTTTTCCAATGGTTGTTGCTCAGAACTTGATTTCCCTTTGGGCCGTTTAGGTGAGATTGAAGAGGATGATGCCTCAGGAGAATTCGCACTACTTGACCTAACATTTTCATTACGCACTTGCTCGAATGGAAGTTCTAGCGAATGGTGATAGATAGAATCGTGTTAATTTGCCGTTAGCCATTGCCGTTAAGGCGCGTTGCAAGGCGCTTCGCAAGGCACTTGGCAGAGATAATCACCAACTTATTTTCTACAGAAACATACCTGGTTTTAACCAGAACATCGTTGAGAACTCTTCGTAAATTTCTTCGCCAACTAAACTTCTTTTCGTTCCAGTACCTTCTTTATATTTTTCCGCTGTCTAAAATAATAATAAGCATTATTGACCGGTCAGGGTTAGCAAAGCTAACTAAGCAGGACACTACTTACGTAAAAAGCTTTCGTAAGACCTAAGAATTTTTTATGGCAGGCGTCACCAGTGAAGTAATTAGTATTTTCTTGATCATTTATTTTTTCCGCAATCTCGTTCCAAAAGAGATACTTCTTTTTATTTGTAGTAGTGTGATACTCCACATTTCTATTTTTTCGTTCATCAATGAGGATGCGAAGCTGGGTATTAGAGAACTCCATAGTTGACTACATAGTGAGAAGATTCTCTAGGACTATTATATAAAAAATATCGAGTGATGTGTTAGGATCATTGCGAGGCAAATTAATCGATCAATAATCAAATAATAACGGTGGCTTAGCTATCATGTCAATAGATCAAGAGCGGTGAAATCTGATTGGTCGATCATCTCGTGATTTATAGAAACTCTGGAACTTTCCTGGAACTATCGAGGAACTGTCGTGGAACTGGGCCGTAGGCGCTTCGCACAGGGATCTAGGGCGATACATGTGATATGATATACGTCATGCCACAAACCGATTTAGCCAGGCGCCGTGCATATGTATGTAAATATCCCTTATAAATCCCGATATGCTTGTAATCGAATAAAAATGAATCCGATATTTTATTATAATATAGTTGTTACAAACTGTTATAAATCACTAACCAGTAAATCTGTATAAATTTGAATGATGATATTATCTAGTATAAGTTGTTAAAGAATTGCTAGAATTCACTAAAAATACTATAATCAATAAAATCAGTATATTTTGCAAATATGACAGTTGTTACCTTGGAAAGCGCTTCTTACATTAATATGATTATTGATAAAAAAGAATGGCGGTTACCTAAGCCCATCAGTAACCGTCCTGGATATGATATGGAATATTATAGAACATATCTCGCAAATTACTATGGTAGCGTGGATGTTGAAAAATTTCTTGATAATGAAAAATTCTATGACAAATTATCAATAATGAGAAAGTGAGAGTCTCCAGTGCAGTGGGGATTACGAGTTAAAATTACTCTCCAATATTTATTATCATGAAATAAAAAAAGCATATACCATAGTTTCTGCTTGTTTGCAAGATTTGGTGAAGGCAAATTTGACGAATCATATCATTCTTATTATCATCCTAAAATCCATAAAAACAATATGGCAATCTGCTTTCGTTGCTGAAAACTATTTCAAGTTAATGAAATAAAGCCAACCAAATCATACCACCATGGATGGCATAGATTCATTGAATTGATTGAAATTAAGGATATGATGCAAGAACATTGGGACCAAGAATGTTCCGATCCTTTAAGTGATCTTAGGCGTGCAAGGGTCAAGCAACAAGCTTTTAATAAATTTAAGGAGAATGATCTGATAGGTATTTACTGTAATAAATTACAACCCCCTCTTAAGTACTGGGATTCTATAAGGAATGAGACACACTCGTTGACTCCTCCAAACAAACTATTTATCTCATTTCAGTATGCAAAACAAAATAATTTACTACCACCTATAAACCATCTTAATCAGCCAAAAGGTACTGTATTAAGATTGAGGGATGGAAGAGAAATCACGATTGTTTAACCGATTTGACTGACCGATTTCGAGTAATATTTTAATTATAGATTTTACTTTTGACTAAATAATATCTCAACTATATTCATAACTTATTCATGTTTTTTTGCGCTATATAATCTGCATGCATGATCACCTAGTATAATTGGCCAAAAGAGCTATGCATGAAATGCTTCATATACATGAAAAAAATCGTTATGCATGATCTACCTATTCTGGGTTAGATTCTCTAATCTATAACTATTTTAATAAAGTATTTTTTGAGAAGTTCAGGAAGATCAATGAAGCGATCTTGGGGATTCTTGATTGCGAGACAATATAACTATTAGTTTGAGAATTTCTATGTGACAGTTATCCAGCGAGCTTATAGGAATTACAAGAAGAGATCTGAATCTTCAGCAAAATGAGTTTGGGAGGCGGTGAGAAATGATGGTACTCCTGATAAAAAGAAATTTTTAGATATACTTAGAAAAGGACAAATGGTAATAAATCCTGAAACGCAAGAAGAATATGTTATAACTTGCAAAGAGTTTTATGCTTATTTTAAAAAACATTACTCAAAATATATTGGAATAATTAATCCAGTCAAATTAACCTCACCATATGAAGAGTATGTTTATTGTTCTTCTAGTAAATGGATAGAAGTTAAGAAATATCAGTTAGAATAACGATTAAATAATATAGCATATGGGAGTGTTGATTTCTCACAAAGGTTTCTGTTTGAATTGCTATCTACTATTGACTATTATGAAAAGTACTTAAAAAATCAATAATATCTTGCGACAGCCATTAAGGCACTAAAGCATAAATTAGCATGTTTTCTAATTCTCGTTAAAGTGTATATGATGCAATAGTGATACACTACAAATCATCTGTAACTCTGTGTGACTACTTGTGCGACCAATTAATTTTCACACATAGGAAATTAACCCCCAAGAATATTTTGAATTTTTTCCTATCTATCTGAATAGCATTTATTTATGAGTTTATTTTCTCTGATGCTAGAGGCTATTTCTACTAGATTTTGACTGAAGTATATTTATATAATGTTACTAGGCCTTTATTACTGAGCGGTCGGGCAAGTGAAATAAAAAAAAGTATGTATATGCATATTCCCAACGCTATTGTAAATGTTGAGATCTTCAATGCACATTTCATATGCCCTTATTCTCTAACACAAAATTTTGGCATAAACTGCCTTGCATATTTCTTCTATATCTCCCCAACATGAAGAAAATGTGAATATGAGAAATGGTAGCATTTAAAAGGGTGGTATGGAAAATATGTTTAAGTCATTGAAAGCTTCACATTATATCGTACATTTTTATTAATATTTTTTACTATGTCGAATTTAGTAGCCAAGGTTGAAGCTTTTTTATTACAAGAATCATTTGATACTCTTTGTAAGGCGTCTGTGGTTTATTTAACAATAGAGGATAATATTCTACCTCCATATAATGATGTACAAGAAATAGTCAACCGGGCGGTCAATTCATTGTTAGCAAAGCTAACAGATCTTGGTTGAAAAACTAAGGTATTAGAAATATTACCACAGGTATGGCAGCATAGCGAACATGCTTTATATCACTTTGACGATCATTTGCCGATCACAAGTTTCATTTTATTAAAAAATGATTAAATTATGAAAAAGTGCAAGGCAAAGTAAATGCCTAAATAAGAAAAAAATAAAATATGCCACCTTTTATTGTTGTATAACTTTAAATTAAATAATTTATATAATTTTTAATTTTTATATGCAAAATTATTAATATGTGATAATTTGAAGTTTCGGGATAAAAATTGAAGGCCGAAGCCGAATACGCAAAGCCGAAACTTGAAATTTTGCATGAACATTCCTTTTATTATATATAATCTGTAAAAAAAATAATGCAAGGTTTCGACCCATAATGCAGGTTTTTTGCTTATAGAGAAATTAGCCAATTATTTGTTATTAATATATTTCTAATAAAAAAGATTATTTACATCATTAAAGATAATGAAAAACTTTTAGTTGAAGATGAAGATGATAATAGTTTAAGTGAAGATAATAATGATGAGAATATTGAAAATAATTTAGAAATAATAGAAAGTAATATAGATAATCTGTTTGAAATATTATACTAAACATGGTTAAATTATTAGTACTATAATATAATTATTAGTATTTGTATTAATTTTTATGTTTTATATAAATTTTTAATTAAAATTAAAATTCTGTGAAGTTATTTGTAAATTTTAAACATTTATTATATTTATTATTGTGTAAAATTGATCTGTCACGACATTTGTATTATGTGATAAGATCAAATAAATGATCGGCAAATGATCGGCAAATTTGTGATAAAATAGAGATGTTTGCTATGTTAGGTATGGCATAAATAAGATTTTTTATTTCTGTTTCTTACTTTAATAATGACGCTATAATAGATGTTAGCTTTAGTTTTGGTATGTCATAGCTAAAGGTCAGGGAGTGCTGGCCCAGAAGATCAATGTCTTAGGATGTTGAGGGTTTCTGCTCTTCTCTACTGTGCGTAACTGTCCAGCCAAAATAATGACGATATGCCTTTATAAAAAAAATCCTGAAAATACACGTGTGGCAGGAATTATAATTTATGAATTTGGAATGGGAATAATGTACCAATACTTTTTTTATCACATCTACTGTAGGTGGAGAGTGGATATATCAGTGTTTGTGAGCTAAAAGCATTAAAAGCATTGAATATGGATAGAGAATTACCTCTTGACCATACTCAGGAAGAAATAGAAGAAAATCTTAATAAGTTAAAATCTAAACTCGAGGTAACTACTATGTCATTTGAAGATTTTTATGTTTAAAACTAACAAGCTTTTGTGTTTAGCATCCTACAACAAAAGCAGACATAAACCTTTATGGTTCACTTAAACAAAGTTTAGCGGGTATAGAATCTTTAGATCTCATATGGCGAGACCCTAAAGCAAGCATGGTTTTAAGTGATAATTCAGACATTGTGAAAAACTTGGGAAGTAGGCAAAAAAACATCTTCATGGAACCTTGAGAAAAAATGAAATGTGCTCTACCTGATTCAGTTGTCGCTAAGTGTATTAATTTTGTGAAAGTTTTCAATAATACGAAGAATGCAAGGTCTATGAAGAACATACTTCACAATAAAAAATGGAAAGAAAGTGAGACGGATTTAGTAATAATAACGGAACGTATTCTAGGCATAATGTAAGTTGCTTGTTTATTCAAAAATTGATGGAATATCACTATTAATTACGCTTTCTTTTATTAGTAGTGAAATATAGAGTAATCCTGCATTTATGACCAGTACATCCCGCAGTGAGCAAAGTAAAGGGACATACATTGCAGATGTCATAATTCCTTTACTTCAAACAAGTTTGAGCAATCTTCTGAATGGTGCTATTTGTCTAAGCACAGCGGAACGTCAAAGTATAGCAAGTAAAGCTCGAAGAAATTTAAGAATAATAGAAGAGCGGATGGGAAAAAACCTGACATTATGGGTTTATTGGAGCAAGATGAAAAAATTATTGAGCTATTGTATACCGAGTCATCACGTATTGTTTGTAGTAACTCGAAAAAATCAGATGATGAGGTTAAGTTATGGAGAGAAACATTGGATGAGGCAAGTTATATTAGTGCATTATGTAGACCAACCGGAAATCAATTTGGTATTGTGGGAATTCAGGTCGCGGGTACAACTATGTATCTGAATATTCTAGTAAATGATCTGGCTGGTATACCAAGATACTTCCATTTAAATCATGCAGAAATTCCATTATCCCCTTACCAGTCACGCCCAAAATCTCTCATTCGTTTACTATTAACCTTAAGAAATGTAATGATCGTGAATAAGACACTAGTCAAAATAGTCCAAATCAGATAGAAATTGATCATCTGATTTTAATCTGATTTATAACTCAATTTTGACCAATTTTTTTAAAAAGGCAATATTCCATTTGAGTTCCGAGTGGTTGCCACTCAGATATAATTCAGAATAAGAAATCAGATATAAATCGGATATAAATCAACAAATACTACTAAATTCGACACTATTAATTGGATATAAATCAACTAAATTTATTATATAAATCAGATATAAATCAGATATACTATAAAATATATTATAATACGCAAAACTAAAAAATAGAGTAAAATAAATTCATATATGCTATAAAATATAATATAATATAATACGCAAAACTAAAAAAAGAGTAAAATTAATTCAGATATGTAATAAAACATACTATAATACGCAAAACTAAAAAAAAAAAGTAAATTAGTAATAAAATAGAATTCTGAAATTCCAACCATTAAATTGTCTGTATATTCTGTGTCATATATATATCATATCCGGTTGATCAATATGTGACCAATCAAGAGTATCATCCGGTGGTACTTTATCATAGCATTGTATCTCGTCATCATAGTTCTGAGGTCACAATTGCTACGCCGTTTGTCCCACTCTTAAATGTTTATTGAGAACATTTCTTAATAAAAATCTCAACTAAAATGTAAAAATAAATAAAATCAGAAAAATGTAAAAATAAGTAAAATCAGAATTAGTGAAAATAAGTAAAATCGGAATTAGTGAAAATTTATAGCAAAATAAATTATCAAAATAAAATAAGTAACCTCTTTTGAGCGCCATGATAGATCATAAACATTAATGACCGATTTTGAACCTTCATCTTCAGTTTCACTCACTTCCGGTGAATGATATGCATGATTTGCCAGAATTTTTAACAGATCTTGTTTTCCATAACTCGTAATTCGGCTATTCTTTTTATTAAAGAGATCTTTCACAGCCTTTATCCTTCGCAATTTTTTCTGATTGATAAATTTAAAATGAGTTAATATGGATTATTAATTTGCCGCTGAATTACATTACATACATCATTTAATCTATTATTGGCATGAACTCATCGATTGTCCATGCTTTATTTGCCAGATATACTCAAACTCAACTTAGATTGTCGAGATTTATGTAGGCTACTTAACCACCTTGTTACCTGGTTAAAGGATGGTCGATAATTCAGAGCAAGTGATTTTCAGATTTCGGGAATTAATTTACGTCAAATTTTAATGTTTTTTGCACTGTTAAACGTTTCATTGTAGTTTAAGTTATATTTAGTGTTTTTAAGATTGATTTCATTTCGATCTAATTGATATTTAGAAAAAGAAAAATTAAAGAAAGTATTATGAAATAATAAAATTAGCAACAAACAGATATGTTAGTAGAAAATTCAGTATAAATTTGTGGAGCCAAAAACGTTAGTTATTGAAATTAATAAAAAATTGGTAGTTCATAAAAGTTAGTATACGAATTTGTGTTGAAATTAGTAAAAATTAGTAATTGTAAAGTTAGTATACGAATTTGCATTAAATTAGTAAAAAATTAGTAATTCATAAAAGTTAGTATATGAATTGCATTAAATTAATAAAAATTTGTAAAAAATTAGTAATTCGTAAAAGTTAGTATATGAATCGCATTAAATTAATAAAAATTTGTAAAAAATTAGTAATTCGTAAAAGTTAGTAGTATATGAATTGTGTTAAATTAATAAAATTTGTAAATTGTCGTAAAAGATGAAATTAGTATTGAAATCAGTTGTAAAAATTAGTATTAAATATGATTGTCAAAACTCAACAAACCCTTGCTTCTCTTTTGTTAGGCTCTTCGGGTGATTCTTCAGTTGCATTTGATTTGGAATCCATCAAGTCATCATCAACATCTTCATCTTTATTGTCATCATCACTTATTTGGACTACGCTTCTTTTGCCCTTAGCTTTTTTGGAAAGATGCTTGGATTCGATATCATCGATCTCACTTGCTCTGATTTTTCTTTTTAATTTTTCATTTTCTGTACCGAATGCATCGTTAATTTCCATAAGCGTACTGAAATCCTCTTTTAAGCTTTTTAATTTCTTAGAAATATCTACGTTTGTTTTCTCCAACTTCATATTTTTATTACGCAAATTGGCTATTATCGCACGTAATTTATGATTTTCTAAAATTTATTAACCAAATTCAGAAACAAACAAACTTTCAATGTAAAGCAACTAAAACAACAACCAATTTTAGCAATTTTGTTACAATTATACCAGTTTCCAAAGATGGATTATCATCATAAAGGTCTAAATTATGGTGAAGATCCTTTTGCTGTTCTAAATAGGAATCTGGAACCTTGAAATTTTTATATTGTTCTTTCATATGCTGAACTTTTGATTTTGAAGTAACGGTCGATTTGCTAGTGGTAACAGGCGCAAGAGTAGTTTCATTGCTAGTGGTGGTAGCAGGAGTAATTTCAGAAATTTCAGAAGCTCTTTTGCTAGTGGTGGCTGCGGTGGTAACAGGAGTAATTTCAGACGGATATTTATAAACTTTGGTAATTTTTTTTTTCTTGTTGGGACATGGTGAAAGTAAAAAATTAAGAGAAAGAGAAAGAAAAAAGAGATGAGAGAGAAAAATTTCAAAATTTAGACTTTTATAGCTTAAAATAAGGTTGCTTGTCTAAACCTCTTCAAAATTCTACGATTAGTTTCGTCAAAATTTTACTATAGATTTATTATAGTTTTGGCAGAGTTTCGGCAGTTTCGGCATTTATAATAAGTTTCGGAAGTTGCGCTTTTCTCCAAAGTTTCGCCAGTTTTTTAATATAACTTTAATATAGTTTTGGCAGAATTTCGCTTTTCGGTGAAATGCCATCTTGCCTAAACCCCTAGGTTTCGGCAAGCAACTTTAGCTTAAAATCAGTTGAATTAAGCTTTTTTCTTATAAGCTTAATCACAATTAAATTATCACGATATTGTATTTACCGTCGATTCCTTAAAAAATTTTTAACAATTAAATTTATCCCTTAAATGATTAAATGATCTTTTTTATTCTTTTGATTATATGACGAATTTCTTATATTGTTCTTTAAAAAAGGATCTAATTTAACTCCTATGTATTACTTTGATTATATGGCGAATTTTTTATATTGTTTTTTAAAAAATAATCTTAATTGAATAATTGAAAACATATTATGGCGATTTATAATGTGAAATTGAATTTGTTCAATTTGTAACGCAGCAGGAATTTACTTTTTAAAAAGAATTAAATTGACATTATTTAAAAATATATTGAGATAAATATTGTAAATTTTTTATTTCATAAAATGAGTAGACGAAAAAGATCAGTTTCTGCTTTACTTAGCAATGATGAAAAATCAATTACAGCTCGCTCTTCTCATAAAAGTAGAGCGATCTCTAGAGTAATTGATGAAGAATCTGAAGAATCAACTTTGATTATACATACACATGACAGAAGAATGGTTCCTTGCAATTGTTCTAAATGTAACAGAAAAATAGTAGATGTTCGTACAAAATTGAACCATAAGGCTGATCGAGATTCGGATGATGACCAAGATTCAGAAGTTGTTCATCATCATCTAAAGATTATGGTAATCCTTTACCAGAAGATAACCCAGTATCGTCTGACGAAGATTCAGATAATAGTTGAAACGTAATTCAACGAATGGAAATGGTGACTTATCAACTGATTTACTTCGTCGACAACGTTCAAGAAGATACGCAAATCAATAAACAACAATTACTGAAGAAGAAATTCCTCTAGAATTATTCATAACTGATGAAAAATCAAGCGAAACTGACGAAGAATCAAATGAAAGTGAAATCAATAATGGTGATAATAATGATTATGAGTATACTGAAATTTTTGAGAATTATGCCCCACCTGTTTATGAGCAATTTCAAAATCGAATTAGTCCAGATACAAATGCCAATAGACAATTTTTGTGGATTTTGCTGTGGATAATGAGCTTTCGCAAAAGATTTAATATTCCAGAAATAGCAACGGAAGTGCTTATTCAATTCATAAAGCTGTTATTAATAGAAATCAGCGGTTCTAATTTTGAAGAATTTTCTGGCTCTTTATACTTAGCAAGAAATATTCTTGGGCTAAAAGATCAACATCATAACTTTGCGGTATGTCCGAAATGCCACAAATTATATAATAAAAAGAAAGTAGAAGAATTTCAGCAAAATGGAAATCTTATAGTTATGAAGTGTAGTCATGTCAAATTTTCTAATTCGACATCCAGGAGATTAAAACAATACCAGACACCTTTAGCAAAAAGATCAACGTTATTATATGACCGTATTAAAATTTGATCTGAAAAGATATTTCCATTTGCTAGTATCAGAAATCAATTAGCATCAATGTATTGCCAGCTGGAATTCAAAAGAAACTTACGTCACTGGTCTGAACGCAAACGATTTGATGATATTTTAACTGATATCTATGATGGTCAGGTCTGGAAAAATTTTAAAGAAATAAGTAATGAAAATTCGTAAAAATTTTTTCAACCTAAAGTGGCTAATTCTAATCTTGGTTTAATGTTGAATCTCGACTGGTTTTAACCATATGATGGTGTTGTCTATAGTATCAGAGTAATATATGCTACAATTTGTAATCTACCACGGGATATGCAGTTTAAACGTGAAAATATGTTGGTTCTTGGTTTGTTGCTCAGTCCAAACGAAGTGAGTCTCCACCAAATTAACAATTATTTGGCGCCAATTGTCAACGAATTAGTGTTACTTTGGGATGGAGTGATGTTTGATAACACTTTTGAGTACCAAGAATCCACTAGTCGAAATAGGACAATTCGGCCTAAATTTGACTAGGTCGAATATAGATCGAATGATGATCTAACCTGTGTCAAATTGAGGTCAAATTTTTGGGCGCATTTAGAGTGCCAATCGTCCCAAATTCGGACTAATTATTTGACCATTATTTAGGCTTAAATTGACCAATATTCAACATTAAAACTTTAAGCCGAATTATGGTCTAATAACAACCCATTTATTTATGAATTTATTTTGATTTTTTTTATCAAATTTATTAAATAAATGTATTTATTTATTAATGCTTAAATACTTTATAATTATATTATTATTATTGCATCTATTTAATTTACAAATAAATATTGCTAATTCAAATACAATTCTACAATTACATGATTAATGTATTCGTATATATGAATCTTTGATCGTTCTTTGGCAATCCACCTGAACATATAAAAAAAAAGAAGAACGGTTAGTAACTGTTCATAATATTAAAAAAAATAAGAAAAAAAACCAAGATTCGTACTTACGAATCTTGGTTCCACTTTTCTGAAGATCAGAAGTCAACCCGAAATCTAAAAAAAGAAAGGAATAGTTATTAGTAACCGTTCATTAATATTAAAAAAAAAAATTGAAAAAAATAAACCAAGATTCATACTTACGAATCTTGGTTCTACTTTTTCAAAGATCTGAAGCCAACCTGAAACCTAAAAAAAAGAAAGGAACGGTTATTAATAACCATTCATAATAATATTTTAAAAAAAAATAAACCAAGATTCATACTTACGAATCTTGGTTTTCTATTCTTCACGAACCTATAAAAAAAAAATACAAGAACGGTTAATAAACCGTTTGTAATAATAAAAAAATAAAATAAATACAAAATTCGTAAAAACAATCTTACGAATCTTTAGGTTGTTCCGTTCTTTGGAAGACCACCCGACTTATAAAAAAAAGAAAGAATGGTTAGTAAACCATTCGTAATAATAAAAAATAAAAAAATTAAAGATTTGTACTTACGAATCTTTAGGTTTTTGTTCTTTAGAAGTCCACCTGAATGAACCTATAACATCAGGAAATTTTTTAAGATGCAGAACTGCAGAGATCTGTAAAATTAGCAGATCTCTGCATTTTTTTTGTGAATTTATGTGGAAGTCTGCGATTTTGCAGATTTTCACTTTTATTTTTAACAAAGTTATGCAATAATCTGCAATTTTGTATATTTCCGATTTTTTATGTATGCATTTCTGCGGAAAGTCTGTGATTTTGCAGATTTCTGCTTTTTTTATGTGAAATTTATGCTGAAGTCTGCAATTTTGCAGATTTTTGCTTTTTTTTTCATTAAAATATCAGTTCGATCTGCAATTTTATCATTGATTTAATATTTAAACTTTAATTAACTCTAACTTGATTTAATACCTAAATGATTTTTTCTACAATACTCTTTAAAAAGAAAAACTTTACAAGACTTTAAAAAAATAATTTTTTCTACAACACTTATTACTAAAGAAAAAAACTTTGTGAAATAATTTTTTCTATAACACCTTTTAGGAAATAATCTGTTAAAGATTCCAAAGAAAAAATATTTCTATTATTTTTTAAGCTTCAAAACTTATCAGAGAAATTTTTTTTTTAAAAAAAAAAATTTATTTGCAAGGTTCGGTGTCTTTAAGGCAAATTCGTCTAACATTCGGCACATAATCTGCAACATGCAGGGAAATCAGAATTAAAAAAGGAGTCGTATTCCTTTTTTTTCTTCTTTGAAAAAAAAAAAATTTTTTTAATGAACGTCAGTTAACGTTTAGTTTGTAAGTCAAGAACATAATAGAACTTATTGTCAATTTTAATTTGGAGGTATATCACCTCTGAAACTTTAATTATTTTTAGAGAAAAAAAATTTTTTTTTATATTATATAGGTTCTGGATGAAACCTATCGATGATTTTAGTTGGAATTCAGAGGTATATTAACTTCCGAATCTTTAATTTATTTTAAAAAAAAATAATAATTTTTTATTATATTATATAGGTTCCAAATGGAACCTATCGATGATTTTAGTTAGAATTCAGAGGTATATTTACCTCCGAAATTTAATTTATTTTTCTTTTAAAAAAATAATTTTTTTTTATATTATATAGGTTCCAGATGGAACCTATCGATGATTTAGTTTGGAATTTGAAGGTATGCTTACCTCTAAAATTTAATTTATTTTTTTAAAAAAAAATAATCTTTTTTTATATTATATAGGTTCCAGATGAAACCTATCGATGATTTAGTTTGGAATTCAGAGGTATACTTACCTCTGAAATTTAATTTATTTTTTTAAAAAAAAATAATCTTTTTTTATATTATATAGGTTTCAGATGAAACCTATCGATGATTTAGTTTGGAATTCAGAGGTATATTTACCTCTGAAATTTAATTTATTTTTTAAAAAAAAAAAATAATCTTTTTTTATATTATATAGGTTCTGGATAGAACCTATTGATGATTTTAGTTGGAATTCGGAGGTATACTTACCTCCGAAATTTAATTTATTTTTTTTACAGTACGCGTCCATGTAACATTAAAATTATAAATCATATATGTGTTTGTGTAACATTTAAAAAATATATATTAAAAATGAGAGCAAGAAAAATAAGTGTTTTTCTGTTTTTTTATAATTTTACACTATAATTTTTGTAATAATCAATAAAAGTTATTTCATTTTTACTTAGAAAATTTTTTAAAAATATTTTTTTTGACAAATTTTACAGTAAATTTTAAAAATAAAAATTCCGCGTATTGGTGGCGTTACAAAAAACATGAATAAATCCATAAATATCTATTCAATCATGATATAAATTATTATGTAAGTAGATTCGAACCTGCTGAACAACTTTACTTAAGAAGGTTTTGAATGTTTCCTATGACTAAAGTGCCTAAATTACGCTCTGAAGTCACAGAACAGATATACGAAATATTAATAAGAAACATTTATAAGTTGTAATATTACAAAAAAATAATAATAGCTTTATCCATACATTATTTCAAAAATTTTTGTTTTTTTAGTTTTTTTTATATATATATTTTATAAAAAAAATTATATATAAATATATATATGTCATAAAATAAGTTGCTTAGCAGTATAAAAAATTTATGGGTTAGATAAAAGTTTGCTTAGCAGACATAAAAAATATTTGCTTATTGACCTTAGTAAATTTTGAATTTTTTATCTGACCTATATATATATTGTTCGGGGTCCTATTATAACTGTTAAATCTTGAAATTTAGTATTATTTTCAACTATATAAAAATCGCATATTTTTTATATATTATTTTTAAATTGTATAAAAACTGTATGTTTTTTATATTCTAAAATTAAGCATTATTTTCAATTGTACGAAAACTGCACATTTTTTATATTTTAAAATTTAGTCTTATTTTCAATTGTACGAAAACTGCATGTTTTTATATCTTAAAATTTCTAATTGTACAAATATCGCATATTTTTAATACATTATAAATTTTTTAAAAAAATCGTATACTTGTTTTTATCTAAAAAACTGCAATAACTGTATGATTTTTGTATAGACATGTACAAAAATTGTACAAAACTTGTATAAATTTTTTTTATAGGGCATCATGGAGCCAAGCTGGATCTTTGAATCACATACCTAAGGTTGCTTGTCTAAACCTTTTCAAAATTCTACGATTAGTTTCATCAAAATTTTACTATAGATTTATTATAGTTTCGGCAGAGTTTCGGCAGTTTCAGCATTTATAATAAGTTTCGGCAGTTTCGCCATTCTCCAAAGTTTCGCCAGTTTTTTAATATAACTTTAATATAGTTTTGGCAGAATTTCACTTTTCGGCAAAACGCCATCTTGCCTAAACCCCTAGGTTTCGGCAAGCAACCTTACACATACCCAAAAGATCAGCCAAAATTATGGTATAGTACCGGCCAAAATTAAACGCAGATTTACATTAAATTACTGTGCTACTTGTCACGATATTTTTTACCACATTTTGGCATCTAGAAAGGCAACCAAATAGGCGCAAAAAAGTAAATACCTCGATATAAAATCTGATACCCAAACAGGCGCAAAAGACCAGCACCTTCAATATGGAACTAGAGTTCCAAATGGGTAGAAAAGGTCATCTTCTCAATATAGAACCTGGATTCCAAACAGGCACAGAAGGTCAGCACTCACAATATAGAATTTGATGAGTAAGTAGGTTAGGAGTAAAAAGCAAAATGATACCTTTAGATTATAAGGATACTATTAGATTATATGGTAATGTTACCTTTAGATTATATGATACCAATTTAAATATAGCAGAAATTACTTAAAAGAATAACTAGAAAGCCATAAAGACACTCAAAAATAGATTATAATGATACCATTAGATTATGTTATTAGATTATATAGTTACAATTAGATTATATTATTATAGATTATAGGCTACTATTAGATTATAGGTTACCATTAGATTATAAGATACCATCGGATTATAGGTTACCACCAGATTATAGGTTACTATTAGATCATAGATTACCATATAATCTAGAGTAAGTAGCCGGTACTATATGATATAATTATATCACATAGTACTGGCTATTGAGGTATTATCAGTTGAGGTATTATTAGTTTGAGGTACTCTTTGTTTCATGCTTTGAATACATGCTTTCTTTAAATTAATCACACTTCATCACACTTTCATAGATTTATAAAAAGACTCATATTTAATTTAAATAATATTAACAAATTTTATTACAACTCATTTATTTGTATCAGCTGGTTCTATAGACCGATTTGATGATAAGAGGTTAATACATATATTGACACAGTATTCAGATTAAATATCCATGTAAAAACGCACCAGATAATCCCTCAGAAATTCTAATTTTTCATGAAACAAACTTCAATTTTTTTCATATTATATAAATGAGTAATTTATTTCAGTAAGAGATTAGCAATTTTATTAGGAAATTCTACTTGCCAATATTATATTACTGTAGAAGAAGAGTTATTAAATGAGTGAGATGAAATTATGCAAGAAATATATATTGATCTAATTGGTTAGTTGGTTAGTTGATTAGTTATAAGCTTTTATAAGCAATTGGTCAAAATATACTATCATTCAAATCATCTTAATGAGACTAATTTAATGAGATAAAGATCATGAAAATATAACCACTGGATCAAAAAATATTATAGGAGAACTCAAAACACTTTTATTAAAACTGATTTCTTTTTTTATTTTTAGCTAATTAAATTTTAATAATTAACCAATTCTATTCCATAATTATTTGATTTATAATAAAGATTAGATAAAATTCAATTTAATCCCTCAGAAATTCTAATTAAACGTTTACTCCTTTTTAGAGGATGTAACTTTGATAAATGACAGTAGAAAAGTGGAAAAATATAATATTCCTGATTCTTATAGAGATAAATCTGAATTGGCACGATCAATTCAAGCTGAGAAAAGAGCGAGTAAGTATAATTAATTATTTTAATTATTTTTAAAATATATTTAATGTAACAATTTGTATTTTACTAATTATTTTAGCAAAAAAGCGTAAAGGTAAACAAACTTCATCCTTGAGTACAATAAAAAACAAAAAAGTAATTCTCATAATAAGAAAAATGACACTATCAAAATTATTGAATCAAACAGAAATCCATGTTTTGATCAACAAAAAAAAGTTAATGCTTTAGCGCAAGAAACACTAGCTATTCGAAAGCAGGCAAATGATAAGCTTAAAAGGGAAATTTTACTGCTTGAAAAAACCTATTTACCTATTTATTTCTTCACTAAAAATCTATAATTTATTTTTTAAAAGTTCATTGTTCTTGTTAAAATCCTCATGATGCAATAAGGTATCCACCTAAAAAACTATCACCATCTTTTATTTCAATTCTTTCATTTTGAATTCCTATTTTATTTTGCTTAACCGCATTTTGGACAAGCAATTTTCGCGTGGTAGTAATAACTTTACCAAAGTGTGAAATGCGATTTCGTTATATTCTCTAAATGATCTAAATGCCTTCATAACAATAAGTATCATGAAAATTTATAATTAAGTTAATAAATAGCAAAATATTATCTAATAGTAAAAATTATGCATCTTTCTTTTTATCATATTTATCAATGTTCTGCTATTGTTAAAAAAGAATTTTAGTATTAATTAAGATGTTACAATAATATATCAAAAAAATCACAATAAACACAATTCAGAAGTAAAATATTCATTGCACCTTAATGACTTCAGGTTTGTGTTTGACTTTTAATATTTCTGATATATAATTTTGTAAATTATAAGGCATCCGCGTCATTCAACCTTTACAGGAACTGTTCCAATTTAATTGTTTGTTTAATATCCAGGCCGCCTTTTGAAAAATTAAGGGAAAAGGGAGGCTTAAGTTAAACAAGCTAAATAAATATACATAGAAAAATTTGAAATTTCAGACAAAATTTAAAGGGAATATTTATCACTATATATTTAAATTTTTTCAAAAATAGAGGGGTATTTATTAATGTGTTCATTAGATTTCAAATTTTTTAAAAAATGAGGGGTGGAAAGTAGGGTGGGGACGTTAAACAAATAATCAAGTTAGAACAGCCTAAACAGTGCATGATGGTGGTGATTAGTACTTTGATCTGGATTGATCCATTGATTAGCATCACCAAACTATAATTTTTGCAGATTTTAAAAAATTATTCTTCTCAAATAAACCATTGCCAACCCGTAGTAAACCTCAGATTGATCCGTTAAAATCCCATTCAGATCGAAGCACTAACGTCTAGCGGTGATAAATTTTTTAGGTCACGTAGGGTAGAAAATTTGTTGGTAGTGAAGAGATCCATCAAATCACGAGATAATTGGCTAATCAGATTTCAATTTTTTGAATTGTCACACTGATAAACGTAAAACATCTAGTCACAAACAAGCAAAAATAATTACAAATTTCTCTGATATATACATGCCAGTGGTTATTTTCTCTAATCTGTAATCACATGAATCGAGGCAAAATGCGAGAAATAATATGAAGGCTTTTTTGGAAATAAAAATTCTTCATCCATATATTTGTTTTTGCATTCACTCATTCTATGCTAATTTGATTCATGTTGTAGATTTGCCCAAGAGAAACAGTATGGATATTCTTGACTTTATTAGAGATAGAAGGATCAGTCATAGCGGACCTGTATGTTCTTCTAGCAAATGGTCCAAAATAGTTTGTAAAGGCATTTCTATCTACAATTCCAGGTCTTTTTGGAATTTCAATTTTACAATTTGCAGTTGTAAAGAGGACGAAAAAATCATTTTCTGATGCAGACTTTTCACATTCTTCTTGGTATTTCTTTTTACTAACTGTTTTTTTTCGCAATTCGAATTGGTGGATTTCATTCGGACTCTTAGTACCTGGCTGATCTAATGAAAGGAAAGAATCTCCATATGATGAAGTTGGGGCATTAATTATACAATATTTGAATTGCCAAACATCAACAGTAGAATTATAAAATCAACATTTCATTCCTTTGCAGTGAGAGTTTTAGACCTTATGTCTGTAAAAAAAAATACTTGGAATATGATGCCCAATAAAAAGTTTATGTTGGGTTTTTGTAAAAAAAACGTAAGATAAGTTAATATAACAAATTTAGTACAATTATGAGCATCCATTTGTACAATATCTGTAATGTTTTCGTATGGTATTTGAAATAAATTTGTTATAAACATGCATTATTTTTATATAGTATTTGAAAGTAATTTATTATAAATTTGCAAACTTTATATTTGCGTTTTTGGTTTATTCTTCTAAATTTAAAATATAATAATCTATTAAACTCGCTTTTATTGGCTTGTGCTTTTGACCAGAGGTGGCAATGCTGATGTCTGAAATTATGTTTTCAATGTTATTCAAAATTCTAATATTGTAGTAGGCTATGTACTTATTATACCAGTAATTTTACAGCTGACATATTTGAAGATTTTGTGATAAACTATCAAGAATAATATACACATGTTAGAATCCATAAGAGAGGTGCTGGTAGGAGGGTTATCTGTTTAAGAAGGGGAAGCTGTATCAACCAAAGAGTTAGGGTTGGTTTCGAAAGTGATAAAAGTGTTAGTAATCATATTAAGGAGGATGAGGAGCTGTAGAGTTATCGTCAGCATCATAGAGTCATTAGTGCAGGCTCTACATTAAACTTGAAAAGGATATGGAAAATTCTAGCAAATTAGAACTTTATGAACTAATAAAATTAAAACAAATTAAAGCAATTTGTACCTTACCATTATGAACTTCTAACCAATTAAGGGAGTTTGGTTAACTTTAAAAGGTACAGTTGCTAAAATTGGCTCTTATCCCGCTTAAGTCTCTTAAGGAAATGGTTACTTCTAAGGTTATAGGTATGGAGTTCCAATCCAAAACCACATTCTGAAAAAAAAAATTACTTTGGAAAAGATGCTTTGATATGAATATAGAGATAAATGTGATTAATCAAAAGTGATTATGAAGATTTTGACATTGAAGCTGATGATTAATATGAAGTTAGAAATTTTAATAAAATTCATATTAAACCGTGTCTTAAAACATAAGCAATAAAAGTTATAAATAAAATTATTTAAATAGTACATACCTCAAAAAGAATTTTTTATATTCATATTGGTATATCAATTTTCAGATTATGTCATATATGTCATTATAAAAAATAGAAATTATGGAAGGGATGAAATGAACCTATGAAAAAGGAAAATGAGATGTGTAAGATATTTAAAAAAATAAAAAAAAAGATGTGTGAAAAGAGAAAGTAAGTCGCATTAAAGGGGAGGAATAAAACAAGACGCGTAAAAAAGGGAGGAATAAAACAAGACGCGTAAAAAAGGGAGGAATAATACAAGACACGTAAAAAAGGGAGAAATAAAATAAAGACGCGTAAAGTAAGAAGAAATAGAATCAAGATGTTTAAAAAGGGGAGAAATAAAATCAAGAAAATCAAGACGCGTAAAAAAAGGAGAAATAAAATAAAGACACGTAAAGAAAAAAGAAATAAATCAAGATATTTAAAAAAAGAAAAAAAAAAAAAAATCAAGACGCATAAAAAAAAGAGAAATAAAATAAAGAAATGTAAAATAAAAAGGGAAAATAAAACAAGATATACAAATAAGAGAAATAGAGAAATAAACAAAACATGTAAGAAGGGAGAATAGATACTTAAAAAAGATAAAAACACGTAAAAAAGGAGAATAGAAAGCAAGGAATAAGATAACATAAGAAAAAGGAAAGAATAGTATAATGCATAAAAGGATACGGTAATAAGATGCATAAGATGCACAAAGTAAGGGGGATAGAGATGTGTAAATAAATATTTGTTATTTACGTACTTCAAATTAAACGAAGTATATCATTACTATTTTAAGTTAAGTATTCCAAGTTTACCGAACTTCAATCTAAAATTGAAGTAAACAAAATAAAATTTTTTTTAAGAACTTTTTCTCTAACACAAATTTCAAACAAATTTAGAAATCATACAATTTTTGTTTATTAAATGTCATAAATTTTAATAAATCTTACAATAATTATACATTTAAACTTTATAAAAAAATAAAAAATGTTTAAATATAACAAATACTATACGAAAATTAGACAATTATTACAAAAACTAAACAAAAACTATATGAATTTTATACGATGACTTTTTACTGGGATGATGTCTATTTTACTGAAGAATTCAAAGACTATTTTGATAAGTCTTATAAGAAGAATCTTTTAATATTAGATGAGAAGTATCTTCAATCTCTTTATTATTATTTGTATGTAATAATGAGTTTTTATTCTGGTTTAACCATTTATATATATTATGAATAAAATTTATAATAAATTCATAAAACATATCTTTATCATTTGAAAAAAAAAATTTTCATTTAAAATCATATAATTTTTATACTGTAAATTTTTTTATTAATTTTATTAACCAAAAATAAATATACTGATAAGTTGTATATTTTAGCAATATTGTGTATTTCCAGTGATTAATATAATAACTGATAATGAAAGAAACTTGCTAATACTGTACTCTTTATGAAAAAAGGTTTAACATTTTTGTTAATTCATTAAAATAAATATTCTTGTTAATATTAGTATTTAGTAAAAAAAAGGAGGTTCAACTTTAAATTTTTCAGTATTATTAATTTAAGTAATCTATCTTTAAAGTTATTTTAATGTAGTGCAACAATTTTAACTATCATTTAAAACATTTAATAAATTCATTGTTTCAGTATTTTTAGTAATAAACCTAATGATATTAAAGCATAGTTTGAATATTAATAAAAATAGTAAACTTTTTGAACATATATAGTAAATGGAATTCTATTATGTAGCAGGACCTTAAGCTATATATATAGAGGTAAGGTGCAATTAAAAAAAATTACTATTAGTTTATGCATTTTTTTAGGATCAGAATTATAATAATGTCAGTCAGCGTCTAAAAAAGGAAATAAAATCTGGCCAGAATTATCTATAAAAGAAAAGATCTACAGTATTATTTTTGTCAATTCTATGCTAGAATTGTAAGAATTACAATAAATTACAATACATGTAAATTACACTATAAGTTATATTAACTTCTTGTAGCTTACAACTTATATTATAATATATGATTAATTTCTATTGATCATATTATGTAATCAAACTTTTCCAAATTAACGCATAAAATAAAACAATTTATTAATTTTATTTATTTTCTCAAAAAATTACATTTTAACAATCATATTTTTTAAAATTAATCATTAATTTTAGAATTGGAATCACTATATTATAATTTTACTTACTAAAAAATATTATTTTCTAATTATTCTGATATTATTTCTGAAACCTCACAATGTAATTTACATGTAACTTACAAAACTTAAAATGTAACTTACATCAAAATTTTTTAAGATACTGTAATTTTACAACCTTATCTTTACCCTACCTTTTTATATATAGCTTAGGATCTTCATGTAGCAATATAACTTCTTTCTAAATATATTTTTATTTTTATAGCTGTTAAAGAAGTTTTTGGACTAAATAGTTATTTAGATTTTTATATAGAAAATAAATTTGATTGGGGTATTAAAATATTGAGAAATAGACTAAATACAAAAAAAAATGTTTTTTAAAAAATGATTACATATATAAATCTACTGTATACTTAAAGTTGCAAAGTAATAGACAATTATTAATATCCAAAATAATAAACAGTAAAAAAACATGCTATTAATATTATTGTTTCATATGCTAAAAATTTTGAATTTATTAATTTAAAGTATCCTGATGAAATTAAGAAAGAGTTAAATTAGTTGGTATAAAAAAGACTTGTTAGGATTTCATATTTCTGATCTTTAGAGTAAATTTCAAGATAAATTTTAATATTTTATGATCAAATGGATATTGATGAATAATGAAATTCTGACATTGAAATTCATTAATTTGTATATTTTTTTTTACTACCCATATTATATGAATTAATTCAAGCAACAAAATTTAAAAGATATTTTTACATTCATTTAATAATTTCTGAAGTAATTAAATGAAAACATCTATATTAAATATATATAAAAAAATTACTCTAGTAAAAAAAATGCAAAGCAAAGCATTATAAGAATTTTCTTTAGATTAAACTAAGAAATATAGTTGAAAGATATGTAAAATATTCATAAATAGTCAAAAACTTGAAATTTAACCCTTTTCAGTTTCATAATAAATTGCACAAAATTTACAAATAATAATTTGTTGATGAGAATAATGTAGATGTAATGATTTTTAAAGATTATTAAAGATGGGTTAAAAATTTAAAGCTATAAGGCTATAAGGTGAATCCAATTTTAATTGAAAATGTAGCAAAATTGAAATATAGTGCTCTTGTTGGATTTTACAGCAAAGTTAAAAAAGAATAAAATAATTCATAATATTAAAATAACTAAAAATTTAAACACACATATATCAAGTTCAGATAATTTAAATATAAAGAAAAATTCATGTTAGATCCAGATATTAAAAAATCTTAGCTCTTCTATTTTATTGCAAATTTATTCATTATTCATTATTTTAATATTTTGATAAAAATGGAACATTGTAATAGCGGATGTTTAGAGGGATGAGAGTTCCTTCTCACTACTCCGTATTACCTGAATCTAAATTTTTTCGCTATTCACATAAATATTTCTTCTCAATATACCTTCGGATCTTTTAAAGTGGGTATCCGATGCTAGACGGTAATTATGTGTACATAAAGCGAAGTGACAAATTGCTTCTTGATTTCTTTGGTTTCTTAGTCAATTGAAAATTCGAGACAAAAATAAAAATTGCTACCAATGCTTGAGCAATTTCACTTGATCTGCTTTCATTTAATCTGCTTAACCGATTGCTTCTCTAATTCTCCAAATCTGATATTTTTCCTCAAATGAAGATACACATCATCATGAACAGACTTCACACCTTTGACAGACATTTATTATGATAAATGTTAATATTAAATATTGTGTATGAATTACGATGCCCAGAACGTTTGTAGGTAATGTTAATTATAGGATATTTTTGATTTTAAATCACACTATCATATTCGATTGTCGCACGGATTAGTCAGATTGCCCAGAATTCTTGGAATCATGTGATTAGTCTTTTTAATACATATATATGTATAATATCGCACACAGTTGGTCCATTTGTTAGTTTCATAGTTTCACTTCTCTTATTTATTATTCTTTTAATTTGCAACTTTGTACGTAAAAAAACGTATTTTTACGATTTTATATTGTAATAAACTTTAATTTTTTAAAGGATTTACTATTGTCCAGTATGATACACCCATATTTTGTAGCTAGTTTAATGGTGGGAACTGTTGTTGTGGCTTATGGCGTTTACATTGTTTACAAAGAATTCGCAGAAGAACCTATTTTGCTTCACAATACACGGGGTCGTGAAGGTTATCGAAGCGATGACGAAGATTCTATTATAGAGTCTGAAAAAAATGGGTTGAGAAGGAGAAGAGCGAAAAATGATAAAAATGATAGAAATGTAAGTTTAAACTAATAAAATGATTATTCTGATTTTAATGAGAAGTAATGTACTTTTCCTGTTTGATCAATATTTTTATTAAAAATTACGTTCAAATATTTAGGATGAGGAAGAACAAGAGTTGTTAGATAAGTATTCATATCTAACTGCTTTGGAACAGGAGATTGAACGTAAAAAGAAGCAATTGGTTGATGAAGAACGCATTTTATATGAAAAGGAGCAAGAAATTCAACAGAGAAAACTGCATTTGCAAAGTATTAATTCACAATCCAGCTCAAATTCGGATAGTGAAATATCACCTCTTACCACTCAACGTAAGAGTTCTATCAGTTCTTCCGAAACTTCAGCTAGTGAAATTATTGTGAATTATAAACCGGTGTTGACCGAAGGAACATTACCAGTAAATTCCAATTCGCCACAGTCTGTTATTTCTGTCAAAACTGGTTCTAGTGATGAAAATGATCAACCCAGAAATAAATTCTCAGATGTAGCAGCTCATACAATTCTTTCTCAACATTTATCACATATTACTCATCAACAGCAAACTCCTGATCCTTCTATAATAAATCAAAATTCTGATATTCTTGCAGATTCTAAAACAAATCCATCTTCAATATCTGAACACAGTAATCATTCAACTGGTTATCATCAGCAACATTCATATCCGGTAAATAATTCTCACTTTATTGCTAAATCAATTGCATCAGAAGAAACTTGGTCTGAGGTAGATTCTGTACTTTCGGAGAATATTGGAAGTATTATGTCATCGGCCGTAGATATTGATATGGAAGAAGTAGATGTCATTGAGCATTAAATATTGGGGTGCTATACATTGTTAATCATTTGTACTTTTCTATCGATATTTTTTCTTTTTTATCTGAATAATTATGCAAAAAAAATGATTTTTCGGTATATTTATATACGAGATATTATCCTATCTGAAGGAGGAAAGAAACAAAGCAACAAATATTGTGGATATTATAGTGATTGAAGTAAAAATTGTTATTCTTTTTAAATAAAGAAATATTTTAAGATATCGTAAATTAAGTATTTTTTATATTTTTTAAACGTGTTTATAATATAAGTAAAGGTTGTAACAATCTTTCATGTCCAAATATCCGCTGAGCTTAAAAATGATTAATAAAATATTATTTACGTTTTCATGTACAGGCAAACCTTTATATAACGATATGTCGGGACATATATGAAATTTTTAGAAAATATCGTTATATCAAAGATATACCGATATTTATATGTCCTCACATATAGTGGGAAAATAAAATTTTATCGGTATATCAAGTTTTTAATAGTATATCGGTATATCGAATATCGGTATAAGGTTAGACTGTAGATAATGTAGTAGTAATGTTTAATCAATAATGTTGAATTAATAATTGAAAGTAATATAATAAGGTAAAAGTTGCATTGTAAATAAGATTTGTCGATACTGCAGACTCTGCATTGAACACAAAATATAAAAAAAAATCTCTCATCCAGAAGTAACTATACTATCTCCGAATTACACCAATCGAAACCATGAATAATAGTATTAATTTTCGCTTGATCATTCGATCATTTAAGATCTTACGTACCATCAAAGTCAGACAGAGAATTTAACACGCCTTTAAATAAGGTGTTTATAATTAATGCAAGTTCGTGGCGTATGGCAAAGAACATACAGTAGTATCAACCTTGATTTTACAATAAATGTGAAAATTACGCGCGTTTTTTACAATTAATCTTTATACAGACATCATAAAATTAATGCCGCTCAATATAAAAAATACCTTACAAAGGCGATACAAGCCACGAAGCCACGATCTCATTATCACGTGAAATTTCTTAAGTGATAAACGTGATAAAAAATTTTAGATCTTACATCAAAACATAAATTCTCGACAAAAATTTTAAACTTTTATTTCTTCATCATATTCATCATATCCACTTGTTAATTAGAATCTACAAAAATGCAGGCACCAGTGATTGTTATGAGTATGAAAATTTATAATTTAAATATTACGAATAAAAAAGATAGTCAATGATAACATTTTTAATATATAATTACAGATACTAATGTGGAACGGGAAGTTGGAAGAAAAGCCCAAATATCCAATATCACAGCGGCTAAGGTACGTTTGTCAGGCTGTTAGAATTTTGATAGAAATATGAGTTTGCGTGATAAAATGTTTGTTGTTCTATATAGACCGTTGCCGACGTTATTCGTACCTGTCTTGGACCTCGTTCTATGCTCAAAATGCTTCTTGATCCAATGGGTGGAGTTGTACTCACAAATGATGGTAACGCTATTCTTCGTGAAGTTGAAGTAGCGCATCCAGCAGCGAAGAGTATGATTGAGTTGAGCCGAACACAAGATGAAGAAGTCGGAGATGGTACCACTAGTGTTATAATTTTGGGTAAATAAAAGTTTAATCAATAAATCATTCTTATATTTTTGTTATATGTTTATTTATTTATTTATTTATTGTTTACGGTACTTATATTATTCGAATAGCCGGAGAAGTGCTTGCACAAGCATTACCTTATCTTGAACAAAATATCCATCCGATCGTCATTATATCAGCTTTTAAAAGGGCTCTTGAAGATGCTATTAAAATAATTGATGAAATTTCAAAACCGTTAGATGTTGAAAACCAAGATGAAATGTTTAATTTAGTTAAAGGTTCTATTGGTACAAAATTTGCGAGTCGTTGGAGTGATTTAATGTGTAAATTGTCTTTAGATGCTGTTAGAATAGTATCTAAAGATGATGATGGAAAACGCGAAATTGATATAAAAAGATATGCTAAAGTTGAAAAGGTACTCAAATATCGATTATCTAAAGATACTAGAGTTCCTTTTTTTAATTTTTTTTCTTCCTTTATTAAGGTTCCTGGTGGGGAAATTGAAGATTCCAAAGTACTGGATGGTATTATGGTGAATAAAGATGTTACTCATTCTAACATGCGCCGTCGTATTGAAAATCCTCGTATAGTTCTTTTGGATTGTCCATTGGAATATAAAAAAGGAGAATCTCAAACATCAGCAGAGGTTATGGATGAAAATCATTGGAATAGACTATTACAGATTGAAGAAGAACAAATAAAGGAGATGTGTGATGCAATAATTTCAGTTAAACCTGACCTTGTATTCACAGAAAAAGGTGTTTCTGGTAAGTTATCAAAAACCTTCTTTATAATGGATATCTATATTGATAGTAACCAATTATGCTATTATGATAGATCTTGCACAACATTTTTTGACAAAGGCAAATATTTCCGCTATTCGCCGTGTTCGTAAAACTGATAATAATCGTATTGCTCGTGCTGTGGGCGCTACTATAGTGAATCGTTTAGATGATTTAAAAGAGGAAGATGTTGGCACAGGGTGTGGCTTATTCTCCGTTGAAAAGATCGGTGACGAGTGAGCATATAAACAAATTACTGTACTTTTTTTTTCTTTAAAGAATATGAATGTTCTTTTTTATTAAGGACTTCCTTTTTTCTTTATTTATTTTAAAGATATTTTACTTTTCTCACAAAATGCAAAAATCCGAAGGCATGTACAATCCTGCTTCGTGGTCCATCTAAAGATATTCTCAATGAAATAGAACGTAATCTTCAAGATGCCATGAGTGTTTCTAGGAATGTATTCTTTAACCCATCATTAGCTCCTGGAGGGGGAGCTACGGAGATGGCTATAAGTGTGAAACTAGCTGAAAACTCAAAAAAATTAGTGGGAATAGAACAATGGCCTTACAAGGCAGTTGCAGAAGCCATGGAGGTTATTCCAAGGACTTTGATTCAAAATTGTGGTGGAAATCCTATTAAAGTTTTAACAGAATTGAGGGTAATTTTCAATTTTGTTGATATCACAATTTTCTTAATTATAATAACACATAAAATTTCTCTTGTATAGGCTAAACATGCTACGGGAAATCATTCGTGGGGTATTGATGGAGAAGCCGGTACAGTTATCGACATGCAAGAATATGGTATTTGGGAGCCAAATGCTGTAAAAGTGCAAACCATTAAGACAGCAATTGAGGTATAAAATATTATATACTTTTCGAATGGGTTAAATAATTAAAGCTAATAAGTGTGTGTATATATATTTTTTTCTTTTTTAGTCTGCATGCCTGCTCCTACGCGTTGATGATATTGTTTCTGGCGTGTCAAAGAAAAAGTCTGGTGGTGCACCAGCGTCAGCACCAGATGCAGAAAGTGCTGAAGTAGATGAAAAGGCACAGTAGAATAGCTTATGGATTTTTATTTTGTATTTAAATTGGAATTATTATTGATAATAATAGAATGTAAAAATTAATCAAAGTCCGTACATTAAAATTTAATAAACAAATCAAAACTTGGTATTAAATAAAATAATGAAAAGGATAAATAGGATACTTTTCTTAACTTTTTTCTTCCACCCTTTTACTTTCTGACATTTTTTTTTTTAAAAAAAAAATTCCACCTTTTTTACTTCTTTTAAGTAAATATTCTACTAGAAGTTACAAAAGTGAGGAATATCAAAAGCCAATTAAAAAGGAAGGTCCAAGAAAACCTATAAAGCGAAATTATACTAGAAGAAACAAAGAACAAATTAATCAAGAAAATCAAAAAGTAATTGTGAGAATCCTAATAAATGCATGATTATTTCTCGAAAAAATCGTTATTCCATCTTTATCGGAATTTATTAATTTGAACTGCGACTACGTGCAAGATTGACTCCAAAATCAAATAACTCTCTAGCACTGGATGGTGCGTGGACAAAGCGCTTTGCCTCGGCAGCCAAGATATTAAACATCAAGGAAAGTATTCTTCTTCAACCCTTCTTTCCGTTTTTTTAGGGCATTCGCCCTGATTGGGATAAGTTAGGTATCACCCTCAATCCCACCATATGCGAACTTGTGACTTGACTGATGAGCTAATCACTAGGAAAGCATATTATAACAGTTCTAAATTTTGGAACATGCAGGTAGTCGAAGACAAATCCGATTGGACTTATGTTATCGAAACAAGGTATAAGGTAGGCTACAAAAATCCTTTAAGCTGGTTGTTCTTGGTCAATTTCATTGTGATTTAAACGTACTGACGTATAACAGGCTCAGATTTCAGATACGAAAAAAAATATGAAATGTATCCGAACGAGAATGAACATGTCGGGGAACAATTGTTGAGAGATCAGAGAAAACGAGTTAGAAAAAAAAATATGGCCGAGAAAACAGCCGAAGAAGTCGAGGTTTGTGATTGATATAGATAACACAATTTGTATTTTGCTTATTTACGTATCTGTTTATTCTTTCTCTCATTACTCAAGAATGCTCGCAAGAGATTACTTTCTGAGTTCACAGGACACGAACAAAATGAAGGAGGATCATCAACACCAAGTAAGGTTAGGATATAACTCAATATTTAGTTTTCACAAACCGTTTTAATTCTTTGGCCTAATCCTTTGAATGTGTGCATAGATCTGGGTCATCAATGCCAAATCACCATCACATCAACAATATGATGATTCTTCGGATGATGATATTATAGCATCTAGTCCTCTTGCTAATATTTTTCATAACACAAAAAACTGAAAGACGAGAATATTGAAACGACTCACCAGCGACTACGTCATCTGCATGTGAATCGGATTTACAACCGCTATCCTTAGCCAAAAGAAAAATAAAAATAAATTAACCGTGATCTAGCGGAAGTTTTAAAATCCTTTAAAATGCACATTCCTCCCGATCCCGATCACAAACTAATATATGATGATGTTATGGAATTTGCAGCTCAATCATGAAAGCCACGAAAAAAAGTCAAATATCAAAAAGTCCATTATGCATCGGCGTAATTGATATTCACAATGCCGAATGTCTTAAATATTTTCCTCAAGGATTCAAGGAATATATAGCAGATCAAGTGCAAGATACTGTTGTTGATTTTCGGAAGGGAAATATATTGATAAATTTTTAGTAGATTGCGAAGAGGAGGTTTTACAGTACCTAGAAAAGTTTTATAACAAATAATTTGAGTTCGTCAGGAGTGTTTAGATAAAAATCGAATCAATCATTCTACCATACATATATAAGGGACCTGATTACAACAAAAATGATCAGAAATGTAGATGGAAAATTGGTGTTAGTGTGTTACCGTATAGCACTGCCTAAGGGACCCCTTTCCGGCTTTCCGCGTACCACATAGGATATTTTATTAGACAAAAAAAAATTTTTTCAATTTTTTAAATGAAGTAAATTGCGGGTTGATTTAACCAATAACTTTATTTGCAATAAACTGTATTACTTAATTTGTGTTACTTAATTTACCAATAATTGATAAACTGTATTACTTAAATCGCGTTACTTTTAACCAAGTTATTAAATTTTAAATCGTCTTGCCGATAAAAACAAATTTTTTTTTAAGAAACTGTTATTTTAATACGGTAATATACGAATTTCAGTCAGTCAAAAAAACCTTCACTTTATTACATAATACGTTATTATCACAACAGTATGCATAAAGATATTAGCTGAACTATTAATTCCAATCTTGATTTACAGGTTGTTGTTCGTTTTCTTTATAGTAATTTTTCTCTGTTTCATTTTCATTACTATCCCCTGATTCACTTTCATTACTCAAAAAAAGGAACGTTAGCAACGTTCTTAAACCAATTTATTAAAGAAAAAATGCCTTCTCTTCAAATTTACCTTCAAATGAAGTTTTTTCTACAAAAAGAAACAAAAAAGTGCGTTAGTAACGTTCTTAAACTATTAAAGAAATAACGCTCTCCTCTTCAAATTTACCTTCAAATGCTTGTTCTGAGGCCCAAAAGTAAGTTTTCTACAAAAAGAAATAAGAAAAAGAACGTCAATAACGTTCTTAAAATCAAATTATTAAAGAAAATACACTTCCCTTTTGAATTTACTTTCAAAGTTCTGCTTCGAAAGGTTTAATTGTCCAAAGTTATTTCTGCCAAAAACAGAAAAGAACATTAGTTATGTTAAATAAAGAATAAACAAAAAACAATAGTAGACTTTCCTGTTTCACGATCCTGGCAAGAACTCTAAAACCTAAAAAAGAAAGCAAAATTAAGAATGAAAATAAAACAAATAAAAAGATAACTTACTAGTACTTAATACCAATTATATACTACTAGATTAGTAAATAACTAATACTTATAACTGACAAGTCGGAATTTCAACTATTACAGCGACTAATACTTATATAAATAAAATTATGATGGCTAAAATATACGGCTTGGCATATATTTATTAATATATAAAAATTTGTGCTGTAGTAATTATAAAAAGATTACATATTTTAAGAATTTGTCAAACTATGCATCAAAACGTTAGATTTTTTATGTATTTATTTTTTTACGTGCATATTTTCTCAGTTTTTCTGTATTGAACATTTATTGTACATTTCGTGTACCTAAAAAAAAAGACAATTTTTAAAATTACTATATTAATTAACAAATAGACATTATGTCATATTGTACATACGATGCATTTTTTATAGATATGCTTTTTTTTTCTTGGCTCTTTTTCTTTCTTTTCTCTCCTCCGCTAAATTAATCAAAATTTTAATACCAAGTAAAATAAAGAAATAAATAAATAGGAATAGATAAGTATGGAAATTCACCTTCTTTGCAAATAGGGCATCTTTCGTTTATCAATTGATGCATCACGTACCGATGAATGTTGCAGGCGGTTTGATGTTTTTTACAAAATCCTGTTCTGCTTGTTTTTCTGCAAAGTGCAAATTGGGCAATGATGCCTTTTTTTACGTCAGTAGGAGGCATTTTATTATCGATAAAAGGATAGAAGAGAAAAAATTAATAAGAATTTTTCTAATGAACTTTTTTAATTGTGTATAAATATCTTTTTCAAACTGACATAACATAGATTGAATTCATTTATCATTGTTTTTAAATTAGTACGACCTCCTGATCGTGTAAAATTGATTTTGAATCCTCCAATTTCTCTTTTTTTTTCGATTTAAAAAATTGAAGGCGCGTGCTCAAAATTTGCTAATTACTTATATGATATATGATACCCCTTCATAACTAAAAAAAGTTATCAATAAATCAACAAATATGCAATCATATTTTCCATATGATTTTAATAATAATAATTTTTTTTAGCAACGTGAATTATTATGGAGTGTAACAAATTTCAAGGGAAACTGGCAGATAATTAAATATTCTCAAACAGGATGCAGTTCAAGCATATGTTACTTATTTGCATAATATGAGTTTTATTATAATAAGAATACGATTTTTTTCTCAGGATGAAGTGAGTAAAAAAGTCTATATAAAAATCATTATTAGTGAAGTTTTTATGATCGGAACCGTGATATAAATAAGTGGAGTCACTGTGATTTCCACAGATAAACTATTACTAATACAAAAGCGAAGTTTAATTATTCCGCAACAAAAAAAAATATATATATATATGTGTTATATTCTTCTCTCTTTAATCACTTCTCGATAAAAATCTAAAACATTTTTTCATTAAAAATATAAAACTAAAAAATGTCAAAGCAAGAAGAAATTGATGATGATAAAAGTTCAGAATCTTCACGAAATTCAGTTGAAATGGAATATAACCTGGAAGGTTTAAAAAAAATCGCTTCGAAAGTATTTGGTAAATCTTGTATTTCTGTAAATAAACTTGGAGAAGGCGGATTTCATAAAGTTTTTATATTAAAAATGGAAGATGATAGTGAATATATTGGAAAAATTGCATTTCCAGAATGTCCATATTGGAAAACGGAAAGTGAAGTTGCAGTTATGAAATATATTAAGGAAAGAACTTCAATTAAAGTACCAGAAGTTTATCATTACGACAGTAGTAAAGAAAACCTTGTTGGACAAGAATATATTATTATGGAAAAACTACCTGGTATAGCATTATCTAAAGCCTGGGATAATTATGATATAAATCAAAAGAAAGAAGTACTTTTACAAGTAATTGAAATACAATGTATACTTAAAAATCAAAAATTTTTCAAAAATCGGAGGAATATTTTATGATAATAATATAAGAGATTTTACAGTAGATCAAGCTATAGAAATAGCTTTTTTTAATGAAAAAAGATTTGAATTAAAAAATATTAATCGTGGACCTTTTGATAATACTTATGATTATATTTTTGCAGCTATTGACAAAGAAATTGTTTATAGTAAGAAATATTTTAATGAAGAAGAACAAGAAAAATGGATACCAATTTATGAAGAATTTTTATCCTTTCTACCAAAATATTTTAAAAATAATAATGATATTTTCGTATTAACCCATGGTGATTTTTATCATACAAATATTATAGTTGATGGTACTAAGATTACTGGTATAGTTGATTGGGAATGTTCGGGCTCTTATCCAATAGAATGTAGTTGTAATTATCCTTGTTGGATATTAGAAAATCCTGATGATCATTTACTTAAAGATTTTTGGACTGAAGAAATGAGAAATCGTGATCCTGAATTTATTAGAATAATGTATGATATGTATGATACGAACGGATCTAAAGGTGAAATTTATGATTTTGCTTTTCTTTATTATGCTGAAAGGGGTGGAATTTTAAATTCACTTGAAAGTATACGAAAAAATGGATCTTAAAAATATAATCACTTATTATGAAAGATTATTCTGAAAAAGAAAATTTAATAATAGTAATTTTTACTTTATATTATTTTTGTATTAAAAAGTCAGTTTTACATTTTGACTTGAAGTTGATGGTCAATCTTATTATTAAGCGAAAAATGAAATATAGAATCAGGGGAAAATGTTATCATTTCGCTATACACGTAAACCTTTTTTTGTAATTTATTCTTAATATCAGGAGGACATGATCGCGAACAACAAACTAAAATGGTACAATAGTAAGTAGTAACCATTTAAACTTCCCATTTGATTAATTAGCGTAGTCCTACTTTCTCAAATAGTATAGACCGAAGAGTGAGGTCCTGTCCGATATGGTGGGACCTATATACATATATTATTTATTTCGTATGCAAATACCATCTGCTTTTATTTGTAATAGACTTAGTGTACTACTCTTTAGAAATAAAATAAATAAATAAATAAAATAACCATTTAAACATATTTTACTTTTGAACAAATAAGAAAAATGATAACCACAAAAATTAAAACTTAAAATCAGAAAGACTTCTAAAGCTATTTCTATTGCAAAAGTATCGATCCTGGTGGCACTATCTTGACCCCCCTTGTTGTAAAATATGTTATGCAGGTCAAGTTAGCACCGCATGGTGGGCCAAGAACGACAAATAAGGAACTTTGATTAACAAAGACATCATATTAACGTGTTACACCCATCCTAAAATTTCATTGGCTATACACGCGGCGATACATAATTTTATATATCAGATATTATTAAAAAAAAAGTTGTCAACTTAGATTTATTTAAATATTATGTCAAATAGAAAAAAAATATATTTTGAAATATCTTTTATTCCGGCAGCTAATGGAATTGTTGCAAGTCTTTTTCTGCCTTCCCAACGAATTTTTCGCAGATTTATATGATTATCTTAAATGTCAAAGTTATTTGGAAAATTCTTCAGATATAAAAATTCGCGAATTGCTTTCGAGGGGATCGGTTTTTGATTAATAAACCAAGATGAATTATTTGTTGTTCCATTCTCATCTAATTCATCCAATAAAAGCTGTGAAACTTCAAATGCAGATTCCCCAATTTCGGAAATCTATGTTCTAAATAATTTAAAGAATAAGAAACAGGAATTATAAATAAATACAATCATATTTTTACTAGCTATATTTTTATATTGATCATCCAATTATTTCTAAAGTATTGGGATTATCCGAAGAATTTTCAACACGAGCAATTAGTTGTTGTATTGAAGGCTCAGTTTAATTATCAATTCGGAGATAACTTGCTAATTCTATTGCTTCACTATATCCAATGTGAATTGCTTCTTTAAAGTCATCTTCGGATAACAAAATACGTAAATGTTCAATAATTTCATGAGGAAGAAAGTACCATCAATATTAAATACATAACCTGTAATAAACTGAAATATCATTATTCTTAATAAAAAAAAAGAGAAATATTGTTTCAAATACGAAAATATTTTTAAATCTAATTTAATGTCTTAACTCCAGCTGATGTTCGGTCTCATGGTGTATTAATCAGTCCAGCACGACAATTTTTCTATAACACGATTTTTGGTTATATAAAATTCATAGAAGTTAAAATCAACCATTACTTGGCGTGATATACCAAAATATGCTCAAACGCTTCAGTTCCATATTCTCATAAAATAAAGGATAATTAGGGTAAAAATCTTGATGAATTTCAATGCATTACAAAAGATTTTGTCATACTAATAAAAATATCAAAACTTTGAATAGAGATAATACTGCGTTGCACATTGACCACAACGTCGAATGTAATCTCTCCATATTTTTTTTAAAAAAACACACATATTCTTGCTTTGTGATCAATTTTCGACTTAGATATGCACCTATTAGCAAAATTTGCGATTAAAAAATGAAAAATGAAAAGAGTTGCATTTAAAATTATAATAACTCAACAAATCCCAATCATATCGGAAATTTTTTCGAATAAAATATTCTATATGCTGCATCATTATCTTGTTTAAACACATAGAAGTCGTGCTCCAGCGTGCTGTTTTTTTAGCATGCTTAGGATCTTAAACACGAACTAATGGTTCTCCATTTATAATCGGCGCTTTAATGCACATTATAAAATGGACCAATCAAAACGTGTTGGTACTGAATTTACAATTTGTGTTTGAGCATTAAATTCTGATCGTACTCCATCAGATCCAATGCTAAGAATATTGATGTTACTTTGGTGTGCAAAATTTAATATAAGATGAAGGATATTAAAGGTTCGTTCTGCATACTGCATTTATATTATTAATCTTATGATATTTTTTACGAAAAAATTATTATACTGAAAGGTTATAAATCGTAATTACTAAAAATTCAATAGTACCAGTTAGATTCTTTTAATTTTCCCAATTCAAATGAGCTTAAGCTATTTAATTTTTAAATTTGCGCTATAAGAGCTATCTACTGTATATTCGGCCAATAGAAATTACTGCAGAAACCATGTGACTGTGAGTTCTGTGATATGAGTGATATGATAACATGACTTACTGTGCCAAGATCTGCAAACTTTTAATTCCGGCCACCGAAATTATAAAACGAAAATCTTAACTCTGGCCAAAATTTAATAATTCTGGCCCAAATTATGAAATTTTTTTGTCTGATACATATAAATTGACATTTTGAAATATATAATACTAAATTCAAAATCCAATTTCATTAATAAAAAAAATGTAATATACAGTATAAGTATTTAACTGATATTTATATACAAACTGATTGGAGTTAATATTATTATATGCAATTATGCAAATATATAATTTCTAAAATTTTAGTAAAATATATATATACCTCTACTGTATATTAAAAAAAAATATTATAATATTATTAAAAATATTTTATTTCAAAAATTGCAAAAAGAATTTATTTATAATAATTATTTAATAAAACAAGTTGGCAATATTCAATACTTTTTGCATTTTTTCTTTAGAAGTCTTAATAAAAGCAGTATCATCTATATAGTCTATAAAAAATAAAACTTTATTTTTTTAAAGATAAAAATACTAATAAACTTCCAGCTTTAATAATTTTTATAAATGAATTTTAAAAGAATTATTCTTTTGTATTATTATTAAAATTAGGATTCCAGGTATATCTAAAATAAGTTATAACTTATAAGTTATATTTTTAAAAGTAAACATGATATAGTATCTTTATATTTATTAATATTTATATAAGAGTTTATAATAAAAGAAATAAAATAACAAATAAAAAAACACTAACTAAAATATAACTTATATTTTTAATAAATTGGTTTATTTTTTTAAAAAGTTAAAAATTAGAATTACTTTTAATTAAATTATTACTTTACTAATAAGTGTAACTACAATAATAAAATTAAACAATAAAATTCAAAAAATCTTTTATTAAAATTTACTTAATATTCAATAATCCAATTTTTAATGAAATTTTTTGAATTGTAAAGTTTAATAAATTAAACTACTAAATGCCAAAAAAATCACATATAAATCTTTACTAAATTAAATTTATAAATTTTATTTTTCTTTTTAATAAATTATTTTAAGCATTTATATAATTACTATAACTATTTTAATATAAAATAAAATAAAAAATTATTTATTTCTTATTAATTATAAGTTATAAATTATATATAAATTAATTCAGATTTTTGAAAAATATATAAATATGTAAATAATTATATTATATATAAGTAATTATATAAATCTAGCTAGAATTTAACTAATTATATTTAATTTTACTAATATTAATCACAAAGAAATAGTTTTACTACTATAAATTTATCTTAATAAAATAAATCTAATAATATTAAAATTCCAAAATCTAATTACTAAAATTTTCAATATTAATAATTTTTAAATTGTATTTTATCAATATTAATTATAAAAAAAAATAATTTAACTATTATTTAATTTATTTTAATAGATAACTTTAATAATATTAAAATTTTCAAATCTGATTATTATATTAGTTTTCAAAATTAAAATTTATTTAATAATCTTTAAATTATATTTTTATTATTATTATTTGATTTATCTTAATATTTTAATTAAGACAATTTATAATTAAATAATATTAAAATTATTAAAATCTGATTATTAGATATTAAGAAATTTATATATAATTATTTATATACTATATAATTATTTATAAATTATGTAATTGTTTATAAACTTTATATATTATAAATTATAAATTATATTTTTAGCTAAGAAATTAATAAATTATATATATTATTAATATAAATACTGTAAATAAATAAAAATAAAATATACTGTATTTAAAATAACAATTAAAATAAAAGATATTTATAAAATATTTTGAAAAAAATAAATAAAAAAAAGGTTAAAAAAGTTTTGTTTATTGTTTAATTAGTTTATTATATTAAAATAAATATATTATAAACAACTTTTTTATATTAGTTAAATTAAACTAAATTTTTAATTTTTAAAATTTAAAATTTACAAAAATGTTTTTAAGAATTAGACAAATCACAAATACATATCGGCGGATTTGTTCACCCTCTAATTAACATGTTTATTTTAAGGTACTTTTGTTACACAAATTATTACATATGGCGCAGTAGGACCTGGGACGAACATTAAAAAAATTTTATTTGGTTTTATTAATACAATAATTTGATAAATTTAATAAATAGTTCTTTTAAGCCAAAATACAATAAATATTATTCTTAGCAATACTAATAATATCTGTTGTGAAATCTCACTTTATACAATAGCTTCTAAATCTTTTTTGTGTAAAAATTAATAATACATATGCTTACAATTTGTTTGAATATAAAAGTTCCTATTTTGTCTACAGCAAGATAAATAAGAATTAATAATATGTTTTGAAAAATGCAAAAAATGGACAATTTTATGAAAGTTATTATAAAAAAAAAATTTTTTAAATATTAAATGAGTCTTAGAATACTTTTATAAATATTCATAACTATTGTATCTATATAAATTTTTATTTTACTTTTTGTTTTATTAAAACATAATTACTTTCTAATAATATACATTAAAAATACTATGCAGGTGAGAAATGGGTTTTTTGTTAACGAAATGGGTTTTTTTGTGTCTATTTTACGTTAAATAATTTAAGTTTCGCAAATGTAGATTTTCACTTGACTTATTATTTAATCAAGTGATATTCAATCAGATGATTTTATGACATTACAAACTGGTTTTGGGTGACGAATATTATGAAAATCATTTAAAATTTAGCATTATGCAAAAGTGAACAAATCCACTGATATGATATTTATAATTATTAAAAATAAGGAAATAAAATTTGTATATACTCATGCATGTGTGCACTCCTCCATTTTTGATAATTTTTATATAGTAAATTTGTTATCATATGACTTTAGTAAAATTCTGATTTTTTTAAATATTCATGCAACTCTTATATAGTACATATTATAGAGCATTAAAAATTTATTTATTATGTGTATTTTTGCCTATTCTACAACTTTACTTAATGAGCCATAAAGAGTTTAGAATGTCATTTTTTATAATATATCCATGGAGTACGTATATGCGCAGGTGCGTACAAATTTTAAACCCTAAAAATAATATTACTATAATCTGAAATTTTTAAGTTTAATAAAAATTTAAACTGGTATTATAAATTTGGCCAGAGTTAAAAAAATTTTGACTAGAATTATAATTTGAAGATTGTTAATTATATTAATTTTAACTAATTTTAAATTTTTAAATATATATTAAAATTTATTAGAGTAAATTTATTCATCGCACGTGCGATGCATCGCCACTTTCCTTTTTTGTAAATTATTTATGTTGATCAACCTGCTTATACATCGCCACCCCCCTTAAAATGGCAATGATAAACATAAAAATTTGCATCGCACGTGCGATAAATAAATTATTTCAATTTATTATATCAATATATAATTTATATTGTAATATCATAATACAAAAAACCTACCAATATTTTGAAATATTTTCACTAATTGTTAAATTACTAGAATTAAGGAAAAGAACTAAACAAAAGTAAAATTTTTGTTTAGTAAATACCTAGATTTTATAAAGTAAATATATAATGTTAAATCGTAAAATACATTTAATAATAATATATTTAAGTTCCCTTTAAGGATAATTTTTTTTTAAAAAAAAAACTTTTAAATAAAAAATTTCTTTATAAAATAAAATTAAATTTTTTATTATTAAATTTATTACAAAAGAAAGTAATAAAGAAAGTTTATGGTATAAGTAATTTAGTAAGTTAAAACTATGATTAACAATATTAATTTTTTGCTTTAATTATTCTGATAGGTTATTAATAGAAAAATAAAATTAAAAAAATATAATGATAGTTATAATAAAAAATAAAAAAAAATACTTTATTTACTAAAATTCTTTAAAATTCTTATTTAATTATTATAAAATTATAAATAATCAATTACAGATAAATTAATCTATTATAATTATTAAACATCCACATCATTTTATTTTAAACATTCCATATCCTTTATTAAACATTTTATTAAACATTCCACATTTTTTTGTTAAATATTCTACTTAAATATTCTACATCCTTTTGTTATAAATACAATAATTTTTTTTTAAACTATTAATAAAAGAATCAACAACAATGAAAAACGTAATTTTAATTTTAATTCTAGTCTTTTTTTAGTTCATAATTTAACATATAGTAATAATGTCCATTGTGATAAATTTGTATAATCGATAATCTATAAATATTATGCATAGTATGCATTTTTTATTTTTCAACCTATTTTGATTCTAAATTAAAAATAATAAAAATGTAACGTTTCAATATTTTCTAGAATAAAGGGAAAAGTTTCACATATTCTAGAAAAATAATATTTACTTTTTAAATTATTTAAGGATAAAACTACTACGGTTTCACCAAAATATTTCATCATAATTTTAATGATTTAAATTAATTGGGATTGTTTTACCAATATTATAATAACTTACTAGAATATTCTTTGAATACCATTACTTTTTCGAGATTAATTAATTTAGTAAACATGATATTTCCTTATTAGACGGAACAAAGAGATATTAAATACTCCACTTTCGTCAACATTTCTAAAACAAATTTAGTGCTTCTAGAATCTTTACCAGTTTTAGTAAAAGAAGAAAAGAAAAAAAAAAAACAAGATAGTTTAAAAAAAAAACAAGTTTAAAAAAAAAACGATTTTACGGAGGTTACCCGGTAATTGTAAGATGGTAAAGAATCGTAAGTTGGTAAGTCTGTAAAGTGATTTAATTTAAAGTAAAAAAAAATCAACATTTTACAAATTTATAATTTACGCAATGCAAAATAAAAAATGTTTATTTTATTTGCATAAATCTTCTATTTTGTTTCTTACATATTTGGAAGAAATCTCAAAAAGTTAATTTGATTATATTTTAAAAAAAATAAAATACATTAGGTGCTACAAATAATGAAAAATAATAAGTATTTAATAAATTCAAATTCATTTTTAGAAAATAACAAATAAAAAAGAATAAATTAATAGAGTTTCTAAATGAAGACATGTGGATTGATAAATATTACTTTACCTGGTATTAAAAAATATCATGCTTTGTAAAAAAAAAAGAAATTAATTTGACCAATAAAGTATTTTTTAAAAAAAGGATGTTACTAATAATATAAAAGTATACGTTGAAACATAACCAAAACGTTGAAATATAAAAGGAGTAAAAAAAAAATTAGACATTTTTCGTAGTATAATTTCCGTTTTTGAACAAAATTATTCTTTAACGGTTTTCCAACAGTTTTTCTGAGCCTTTCCATGAAGAACAAAATATTTGTTAAGCAATGTGACAAATGTAACACTACAAAAGGGAAAAGAGTACAACTTTTCTTTTTTTGATTTTTATTTTAACACAAGGATTTCAAATTAAGTTAGATTTCCGGAATTCTGAACTGCGGGTTGTTAAAGGTTGTTAAACAAAGAGGCTTGAATATTAATTAGTTAATAAGGAAATGTTATCCATGTGTGTTCCAAAACGAAGATTCTCTGTGGCTTGTTCGATGGAACAAAACAACATTGCTTCATTGGTTGCACACCACATTTCAAAAGAAAAATGATGTGGTTTGCCACACTCTAGCCACAGTGCCACAAACAAAAAATTTTTCCATAAATATGGGAACATACAGCTTGTTGACTGACCATCATTCAAAACCAAACACTTGAAAAAAAAAAAAATTTTGAAACAAATAAATTGAGAAATATTATAAAGAAAACGCAGTAATAATTTTTAGAAATTCTTATTCTGCGCCTCATTTGAAAAATTATATAAACAACCAATTTTTTTCTTTTTTATTCTACCTTGACTAGAACGTCCTCAATACTTTTGGATTAAAAAATTTCTTTTCAAAGAAATTATTATTATATCAAACTTTTCGAAAGATTTTAAAAATTAATTCTTTTTAAACATCCGACGCTTTTTTACGAAAAAATTAAAATTTATTATTATAAATATAAATAAATATAAACATATTTTATATTTAATATCAATTCTTTTATTATTTTTAATTCTTTTATCATTTTTATTTCGTTTATAAAAAAAAAAAAAAACGATTTTTTTTTTTTCTCGATAAATTCTCGAACTTGACGTTTAAAACAATTTAATAATATATATTACTTGATCTATTTATTCGATATATTTATATAAACATCAACATATATTTTTACGTAACTTCGTATTCACAAACACAAAAAATGGCATCAACTACTCAACCCGAATTATCTATTCAAACTCCCGCCGCAAACCAACCTGTTAGAAGACAACCAAGAGGTTCTATTAATCGTCGGGCATGCCAGAAATGCAGACATTTAAAGATTAAATGTGATGGAGACGCAGAGCGTAACATTTCTTGTTCTAATTGTGATTATGGAACTTGCATGTATGATAAAAGTCCAAGAAAGAATCGACAAGTTGAAAAACTTAATTCAAAAGTAGAAAGTTTGGAAAAGACTTTAATGGAAACTCAAGATAATTTGAAGATTATTAACGAAAATTGTGTCAAAAAAGCCGAAGAAAATGAAATTCTCAAATTAGAAAAACAAGTTTTGAATTTACTTATTGATTGTCATAATCACTTCGTAAATCATCCCGTAATTTTTACTCAACTTCGACAAGTTATTAATGAAAGTAGATGTTGGTACATTTTATTACAATTAATTCAAGCATTTCTCTTAAGATTATCACAAAATGATGTTAATAGCACGAATAGCATTATTGCAACATTAAAAACCATAGCAGAATCTTGTATTAATTATTGTAACCCAGACGATGCATTTAATCCAAATGCTTCAATTCCACAAAATATCATCGAAGAGATGGATATTTCAAATAATCATTTATTTAACACGACAATCAACACTCCATCTGTAACAACTGGGTTAGAAAATTTGGCTTTACATTCTCCCGGATCTGATGCCGGTTCCGAAATGAGCAATTTAAATATTCCTGATTTTAAACTTGACATAACTACGTCCCCTCTCTTAGCACCAACTCAAACAAATATCGATATCAATTCCCCACATTTGACTCCCCCAATGGAAGAAGTTGCCTATTTTAGCGGAAGTGATTATGGCAGCTCTCCCGTACAAACTTCTAGCGATTTTCCTTATACGCAGCAATATTTAGATGAAAGATTTTTCTATTATGATGTGGATTCTTCATACGGTTCAAATTCATCAAACAATGGTCAATAACTCAATAACTTATTAATACCACCGGTTGGTAATTAATAATAATTAATAATAATAATAATGGTAGTAGAAAAAAAAAAAAAAAAAAAAAAAGAGTTTTTAAGCTTTTTAAGAATATGTTAATCCTAAGAAAGTGTATAGTAAGTGGTGGCCACCAATAATTTTATGTTATTACCGAAGAAAACTGTCGAACATTTTATTTTATTTTATTTTTTTTATTTATTTATTTTATTCTTATAAATATATTTCGAACTTTTTGGCAAAATATCATTTTATTATTTATTTTTATATATATTATTTTAGTTTTTTTTTTTTCGAATTTCCCATTTTTTGTACATAACTGATATATAGATTCGAATACCTTATCACTAAACATATAAGAATCGAACTTTTTCATTCTATATATATAGAATAAAATATAAGCGTACCTTCCTAATTATGTTTGTCTTTTTTTTTTTTTATAAGATTTTATTTTACTTCGATTTAAATTTTTTAAATTTTCATAATTTTTTTTTTAAAAATATTAAACCAATAGAATGAAATGGTTTTCGATATCTTGTATATATTGAAAAAAATAAAGAATAAATTATCGCTATTTTTTTTTGTATTATAAATTATCTTAAAGTGTTACGAATTTTTTTTTGTGTTTTTTTTTTAAAGTCTTTTCCTAAATCGTTAAAAAGTGTAATTCATCGGAAAATAATAAATTTATTTTTTTTGGCGGGAATTACTTTTGTTTACACATTTTTTTTTTTTTTTTTTACAATTAGAATTATAATCTTCCATATTTAGTTATTTTCTAATTTATAAAGTAGGTGGCTTTATATTATATCCATTGACAATACTTGAATGTACGAGTACAATACATTGATAATACATTGCATTCAAAAACATTTTAAGACGAAATATCCATTATAAAATTATTATTTACCAATCAATGTATGTTTACTTAATTACCATTATTTTCCTTTTTTATTCAATTATTCTTTCAAAAATAAGGATCGAACCAAAAATTCTTTCAATATAGTACAAATAGAGTTTACAAGTAAGTAAGGTGAACTGCGTATATTTGAGCTGCGATTTACTGCGTTTCACTTTTACATAAGAACTTTCTTTTTTTTAAAAAAAAAAAAAATTTTTTTTCTTTTTTTTTTTAATGTTTCCTAATTCATTATATTCTTATTAAAAAAAGAAAAAAGAAAAGAAATCTAAAGAAATCTACCAAGAAATGATTCTCCTCACAAATTTACTTATCTGTTATTTACCAAGAATTTTGTAAAAGGTGATCGACAATATGTATAAATATCCCAACCAAAATTAGCAACGTTTTGATCATATTGCATTTACGACAACAATAACCATACTGCGGCCAATGAGATGCTTGCATACGCTGATACGCAGTATATTTCTTCTCACATATTTTATCAATGTGTCAATTAGACTGTGTCAATGAGTCAATGAGACTACTGCGGAAAGGAGATGTCTGGATCGCTCTATTCAAGCCATAATGTGGCTCATTATTACAATTGTCATTGTTATACATTTTGTTCTGCGTCACGAGAATTGTGCCGCGTCGCGTTCATATTGCCTTATTATATATTCAAAGGTGTTCAGTTCCATTTGAATTATTGAAAAGGAATTTCCGTTCAAGGTATTATTATCCGAAGTAGGTTAAAATTGCCATTTTTGTCCATTAGAACATTAGAAGCGAAATTATTTATTTCTGTTCATAAAAATTTGTAGGCGATGAAAGAAAAGGGTACAGCATATGAATTAACAACCCGAGGAAGTTGTAGAAAGAGTTTTGTAGTTTTTACTGAAAGTTTGTGGAAATTTCATTTTCGTTATTTACAATAAGTGTGTGAGTGATATTTTTATTCTTTAATTGTTCCCAAATAGAGTGTAAAATTTTTTATAATTTAAAAATAATTTAATTATCCTTTAAATAGTGACATAGGTAATCAATTCATTTTCTGGTTTATAAACAAATAATTTACTGTCATCTACTTGGAGATATTGAAGAGCCAGTAACTTCTTGATCTTACTTACTGGATAACTTAATAAATCGATTTTTATATACTGTTGATATTAAGTGTTAACAAATTATCTATTAATGCTCGCGACTGATGGTAAATTTTTTGCTGTATGCAAACATCATCAGTTTAAAAATATATTTGACATAATTTTTATAAAGTATCAAAATAATCTAATTTTATAATTTTATAATAATCTGATATTGTGATTCTTCAAATATAATTAATCATTACCAATTAAAGGATTAAAATAATCGATTCATAAGTTGAGTACTTGAATCATCAAACTTTTTACTCAAAGAATTCTATAAAAGTATTGGCATAATTGACTTTAAAAATAATAAATGTCCGCTATTTCAAAAAATTATTTTTAGTCGATCAAGTTGGTCACTTGGGTCAAAAACAAAAAGGAATTTATAATAAAATTTCCACTTCTTATAATAGGTTTTTTAAAAGAAAGATAACTAATAGAAGAGCTTTTCAAGGAAATCTTTTAATAGGATCGTTTTATTTCTATACACACATCGAATGTAATAATTAAACTTTTGTTCAATATATTTTCAATAAAGTTAATAAAAAAGAAATGAATTAAAAGTTTACAAGTTTAAGATTCTTTAAAGACATAACTGAAAGTGATTATTATTTAAAGAAAACTACTAACAATAATTGAGATTTCTGCTAGCATTCAAAAAAAAATCCATGTCCGAAGAATGTATCACAATATTAGTGATTAACAAATTAAAAAGGGGTTTATACTTGTATAAGACATGTTGCTATAACAAAGATATATGCTTATAACAAGATATATACTATAACAAAGATGCTATGCTATAACAAAGATATATACTATAACAAAGATGCTATGCTATAACAAAGATATATACTATAACAAAGATGCTATGCTATAACAGGATATGCTATAAAAAAGATATATTAAATTAACTTGAACAATTAGAATTTTTAAATAATAGTAATAGGATTATTCCTTTTTTGCCTTTCGCAAGTAATCCTTTAACGACTCGCTGCGTCTCCTTGTCTGCATTCAAGATTCGGAAACTGCGAAAATATTACAAAGATGCGTTACCCACTTTCTAAGCCTCAACTTCAAACTCCGCAGCTTCGATTTTGGGTACGTTAAGAATTGCCTTTAAACGACATAACATCGTCTGATAGTACAGTCAAACCTCCATATAATCACCCTAGGTATTACCTGCAATGTTAATAGCAAATATAGTCAAATTCTGCCTCTTGGACGATTGATTGAATATTCTTTTAAGCTTCGATAAAATCCTAGTAGTATCGATAGAATCTTTGGAAAATCGAATTAATTTTTTGTGATCTCGCCGATGCTTATCCTGGCTGGAATTTGGCCTACCAGTTACAGTACATGAAAATTTTCCGCGAGATCACGACGGAACAGTATAAAGCAGTTCAGTTGCTTCCTATATAAATAATCCAACTCGTCTGGAAAATGAAGTTTTAGATTTTGACGGACGTGTTTACTAGCTAAGGTAAAAATCTCCTTGAACTAGCATCTTTACCTATTGGTTAGAATCGGCAGTCAGTTTCTATTCAATAGTTTTATTGTAAATCGTGACAAGAAATAGAAAAAAAATTATTTTATACCTGAAAATAAATTTTTCATAGCTAAAAATTTTGGTTGGTCTTCAATATTATCTGCACCCAAAAATTTTTGTAGAATAGTAGATTTATATCAATGTCGATCAATTTTTAAGCCAATCAATTTTTTTTTAGTTATAAGCAGATGATTTGGATTGTCCGAGATAAAATCAAATTCGTTCTTATTTATTATAATCCATAGTAAAACCAGTAATCCCTGTCAAATATTTATTATTAGCATTCATAAAATAAAATGGGTGGTCATCGTCCAGCTGCTTTAACACCAACTGCTGTTAGAACAGCAGAACTTATGGAAGCTCGTGGTGATTTCCGTACAACATTTGAAGAAAGTCTTGGGTGTAAATAGTTTTCTTATAAGAATTCTTTACGAATAAGCCATATTTATATATTCAGGAATTTTTTACTATTGATATTTTGTAGGGTTTAATTCTGTAAAATTAGAGGAGGGAGTTTATTTTCAAGCCCCTGATAATATTGCCCAACCAGATTCATTATATCAAAAATTCAAAAATGTATTAAAAGAAATCGTTGATAGTGAACCAGGATTGGCTGCACAGGTTAAATCAGGTGAAAAAGAATTGGAAGTTTTAGAAGAACATCAGAAGGTATATACAATACATTAGATTTTGTTTTAATAAGATGAGAAATCAAGAATTTTGAGTAATTTATTATAATGGAAAGATTATGAATCTTAAGATTTATTCAACTTTTAAAATTAATCAAATTTACAATCAAACAATTAATTAGGTTAAAGATCTTCTTGGACCTCCACCACAAGTACCACATGTTGAGGAGACCACAGAGGCAAAAGAGGCAAAATCTTGATCATCCATTTATTCAGATTTTCTATTGTATTTTTTTTTTTAATTAAAGAAATTTAATTATTTTATTTATTTATTTTGGTCGGTTAAGATATTTTTGTGTCTGTATTTATTTATTAATTTTGTATAATCATGTCAAGAGATTTAATTTATTCAATTTATTCTCAAATATTTCCAATGGGTATGAAAAAGTGAAAGTAATTTATTGTCTATTAAAAATGTCAATAATGTAATCAGTTTTATGTTCTGATTCAATATAAGAAATTTATATTTAATGCATTTAATGCAAAATTTTTTCTGTAAATATCATTTCAATAAACCCGTTTAATTCAATCAAAAAAAAAAAATATATATATATAATTCGTATAGGATTAAGTAGTGATATGATTGAAGTTTATTGTTAATTGAAAATTTGAAATTAAATTGATAAGAAAATCCGTAATATCTAAAATATCACTATAGATTTAGTTTATATCAGAATAAATACAAAGAAATAATTATAAATTAATAAAAATTAAATAATATTAATATATTTAAAATTGCTTACAGGACATCTACTGGTCGGATGGGACGACTCAAGTAGAATAGTTCTATGTATTATATATAATCTTTATTTTTTAAAAACACATCACATCCCTTAAGGATAAATTAAAAACCAAATTATTTTTAAAAAAAATTCCAATTCTCTTAAAGAAAATAATTATTATACAAATATTTTATGATTAAATGTAATATCATATTAATACATATATATATTTAATAATATTTTGTATTTTATTTTGATTGGACATAATTTATTATCAAATAATGCAATATAATTTAATATTAAAACTAATATATATTGATAACTAAAAATATATAAAAATTAAATCATATATTTAGTAAATAATGTAATTTTTAAATAACTTAATCTAAAACTATATATTTAATAATAATACTTAGTATTATTTGTATTATTTATACATATATATTAATTTTATGTAATAAAAAATTTGTTGATTTAAAATGATATATTATTTTATAGTAAATTTGACTTATAGTAAATAAGATTTATTAATAATAAATCTTATTTACTATAAGTCAAATTTACTATAAAATAATATATCATTTTAAAATTATTATAATGAATTTTAACTGTAATAAATAATAATATAATTAAAATTATATGATACATGCTGTCCAAATTATTTGGGATGTTATAATTATAATTTGAGATACCATAATTCATTCAGTTTATATGTAATTTACTATGTAAAGTGCTAAAATAATTTGGGATGCTATAATTGAATTTGGGATTTTACTTATAACCCAAAATAATTTGGATAATATGTATATTATATAATATTTGGTTTTACTAAAACTTATTATTTTTTTTTTTTTTATTAACTTTTATAGATGCGATCTTATTACACCTACTTATATATACTAAACTTATAAAAATAAGAAAAACANTTTTTTTTTTTTTTATTAACTTTTATAGATGCGATCTTATTACACCTACTTATATATACTAAACTTATAAAAATAAGAAAAACATAATATATATAAGAACTAAGCATTATGAAAAAGACTACTCCTCTAGAAGAAAAAGTTGACCTGTCACCCACTGGTCAAAAACTAATATATCGGGTAGCAGATATGTATCAGATATGTACCTGATATGTGTAGTATTAATGCTGAAAATCGGGTATCCGATATGTGTAAGATATGTGTAAATATATATATCATATACATATTGGGTACCGATATGTATATAATATGTAAATGATATGTAGACGATACATATATTTACACATATCTTATACATATCGGGTACCCGATTTTTAGCATTAATACTACACATATCAGATACATATCTGATACATATCTGCTACCCGATATATTAGTTTTTGACCAGTGACCTAGATGCTTATATCACTATTAAAAACAATGATACAACCAAAAATTTTAGGTGACTGTCAAGATTTACCTAAAAATTTGCTCAATGACCATCCCAATAAATGCTAAATCATTCCATTTGTTTTAATTAGTCTTACTCTATTCTATTATAATGTGCTTACCATTACCCTTCTTACTATTTAACTTTGACTTTGACTTCTTTTTTTTTTGTCTTTATTACTAATATTGTATTTTTTTTCTTTTTCTAATTGTATACAGATCAAAAAAGAATCTATCATACACATATCGTATACCTATATATCGGTAACCAATTAGATACATATCAAATATATATATATATTAACAATATATTAGGTACCCGATATGTATGATTTTTTAAGTTAAATAATATTTTGAAATTACATATTTGTTTATTAAAACTTTTTTCCAATTAATCTATTTCGATATTTCCTATAAGCTTATATTATAATAAATAAGGATAAATCTAATTGTAACAGCCTGTTACGCATCTTATTTGTAACAACCCCCAATTTTATCCAATTAAAATTTAAGATCAGGCATAATGTAAACAAAAACAAAAGATCAGTCGTGTAACTAAGACAAAAGAATTTTTTAAAAAATTTCAAGAAACTGCTTATAACTTGAAATTTTGTCTATAAAACCTGTCTCTTATACACATCTAGATGTGTATAAGAGAACAGCCTGTTACGCATCTTATTTGTAACAACCCCCAATTTTATCCAATTAAAATTTAAGATCAGGCATAATGTAAACAAAAACAAAAGATCAGTCATGTAACTAAGACAAAAGAATTTTTTAAAAAATTTCAAGAAACTGCTTATAACTTAAAATTTTGTCTATGAAACTGTCGTCTCTTATACACATCTATATGTGTATAAGAGACAGGTAACAGGCTGTTATAAATACATTTTTTTAATAAATAAAATATAACAAAAAAAATACATTTGTTTGCTAAATATTAGCTAATATTTAGTTTTATGCAGATTAGATCAGATTAGATCTGTTTGATTTATTATATAATCCAATAAAGTAAACCTATTTAAGATTAGATTATAATAAGTATTACATAAAAAAAAAAAGAATTATTTCGATTTATGTTTCTTATTTTTTTTTGATTTAACTTTTTTTTGGTTTTTTTTTTCTTTCTTTTACTAGAATTTTTTCTATTTTGAATTTTTTCTTCATCATTACTTTCATTTTCAATATCATTATCACTAGACAATAGAATAGTTAAATCGTTTAAGTGCTTCCTGATTAAAGCACCAACTTGGTACACCTATGAGTGGCACATTAGATGTATTGTATCTAAGGTTACAGGAGAAACTAGGGGTTTTGGCAAGTTGGCGAAATGCCAAAATAGCAAAACTTTGCTGAAACTATATGAAAGTCTTATTAAAAAGTTAGCGAAACTCTAAAAAAAAGTGAAACCTAACGAAACTTATTATAAATGCCAAAACTGCTGAAACCTTGCCGAAACTATAATAAAACTATAGTAAAATCTTGGAGAAACTAATCGTAGAATTTTGGAGAGGTTTAGGCAGGCAACCTTAATTATATCTTGATTGACTTGATTGAGCTCTCTTATATTTTAAAATTGATGGTTTCTTTTTTAATAATTCGACTGTTAGATTAATTCAATCATCATGTAATAATCTCAAAAGCTTAAATAAATATATTATCATTAATGTTTTTGATAAATAAAACAAACAAAATAAAAAATATACATACTGCAGAAGAATGCCACCATTTATTATAAATATATATTGATGATGATTTTTGTTTTATAAGTTCCTCAATAATTCCATCATCTTCTACTGCAGATTGTGTAATAAGCCATTCTTCTTCAGGATCAGTTTCTTCCCACTCTTTTGAGTGGTAACTTGAGTCCTTAAGAATCTTTACTAAATCCTTTTCCAGGTACCTGAGAATATATTTGTAAAGAGTAACAATATTATTAGACGTAAAAAGAAGAGAAACAGCTATAGTAACGTTAGTATTAAATATAAAGATAAAAGAAATATTGTTATTATTGTTAGTATTAAGATAAAAAGAGTTAAAGAAATAGTAAAAGGAGTAAAAGAAACATAAATATTATCATTAGTATTAAAGTGCAAGTAAAAAGGAATAAAGGAAATGTAGATAGTATTATTAGTATTACGACATAAAGTAACAAAGAGGTAAAAAAAATGCATTAATATTAAAATAACTAGTATTAATAAATAAATATTTCTATACCTGCAAAGTAATTGAACAAAAGAATAAAGAAATAAGAGACAAAAATAAATAAGACAAAAAATGCGTGCATAATTAAATGATGAAATCACATGCAAAAATCAGTCTAATTTTGATTGGCCAGAAAATACGATATCGTAAAATTACAGAAATTCGCATTTTAAAAAATCATGTACATTATACAGCGAGTGTGACATAGATAAATCATGACTAAAATTTGTGTTCAATTTATGTTCAATTTGTGTTGATAATTCTGGTAAAAAATTATTAATTTTGGCCAAATTTCATTAAATTTGTTAAATTTGTGTTGAATTTGTGTTGTATGATTTTTGCATGAAGACCCCGGACATCACATATATAACTCATAACTGATCTGCATGAATTTAAGTACTTTTTGCTCCTGCTAAAATAGACCTAATTTGCTAAAAATCAAATTATCACATTTCAAATCTATAATAATTTACAAAAACTCAAAATATGAGTTAATAATCTTTTTTTTTATTATCAATAAAAAAATAAATGATTAATATAAATTAAACTACCAATTTTTATAATTAAAATATGTAGATTATAGATAAAATAATAATTAATAAAAATAATAAATTAAATAAATAATTATTAAAAAATAAAATGTTGCGAAACTAAAC